TTTTCTGCAACTTAGAAACACTTGGTAGATCCAGCCCTGTGCCAGGGAGCACAGGCTGGCAAACTGAGCACTTGTTGGTTTTCTCCCTAACACTCCTTACATTGGTTATCTGTTTGCTACACAACACCAGGTAACAACCCAAAACTCAGTTGCTTAAAACAGCAGCCACTGACTGCTCCTGAGTCTGTGGGTCACCTGGGCAGTTCTGCTCTGAGCTGGGCTCAGTGGACGCCCCGGTGGACGTACCGTCATCTGTGAGCCCGCTGGACAGCTGTGCTGACCCTGTAGGGCTCTCTCCCAGGGCTGGGGCAGCTGGCATGGTTTCATGTGGCCTCTCATACTGCAGCCAGATTGCCAGGGTGGCTCACATGGTGGAGGCAGGCATCGAAGAGAAAAGCAAAGGCATTCACCCCTCGTGGCCCAAGCTCAGAACTGTGACATCATCCCTTCTACCACAGTGTGTTATCAACGCAAGTGAAAAAATCAGCCCGGAACCTAGGGGAAGAGAAATACAGTCCATTCTCTAAAAAAAAAATTTTTTTTTCTTTATTGATTTGAGAGAGAGAGGAAGGAAGAGGGAGAGAGAGATGGGAACATCGATGAGAGAGAACATTGACTGGCTGCCTCCTACATGCCCCCCACTGGGGATCAGGCCCACAACCTGGGCATGTGCCCTGACCGGGAATGGAACCCGTGACCTCTTGGTGCCTGGGTCGATGCTCAACCACTGAGCCACACCAGCCGGGCTACGATCCATTCTTGGTGAGAGATGCTGTCAAGTCACATTGCAGAGGATTCAGGGGTGGGTGAGAACCAGGGCCATTTTTGCAATCAATGTACCACATGTCCTCTTGGCCAGGCACCTGGTACAAGTCCCAGCCTCCTTAAAATCCTCCCGCCCCTGGCCCTGCCTGGACGCAGCATGGCTCTGGTTACCTATTCTCAGGTGTCCTCCAGGTGGCATGCTTCGCACTCACTCTTATCTAGTCACCCACCAGTGACCTGACTCCTCTCCAGATACACTCAGTCCAGTGAGCAGCAGTGGAGTGGTCTGCGCCTGCCTGGAAAGCAGAGCCCCTCCTGCTGGGGAAAGCTCCCTGGTTTTCCTTTGGGAAATGATCACTTTCCCACTTCCACGCCCTGGAGCGGCGCCTATTGAATAAGGATGGTTTCCTGACTCTGCCCGGGTGGCTGAGGTTCAATTCAATACTCAAGTTAGAACCGTTTGGAAAGGAAGGATTCCTTTCTTCTGGATGAATCGCGGGATGTACAGAGGGAGGCAGCCTGGGGGGAGCTGCCGGGACCACCCCTTGGAGTGTGCCTGTCTGGGTGGAAAGCCAATACAGAAGAGCAGAAGAGAGATCGCTCCATATATCTCTTTGTCCCTGGATCCATCCATGCCTGAAGTAGGCATCTGGACTTGTCAGTTTCCAAGACAATTTGTAAATTCCTCCTCTATTTGTAAATTTTTTAATTTTATTTTAATGTTTTGGCTTAAGCTGGTTTGAATGGGTTTCTGTCCTTTGCAACACTAAGAGGGTTGACTAATACACCCATCAACAGGTGGTTGTAGATGTTCAGCCTTTTAACATTCTCAGCAAATTCTCTTCATTCATAAATGCATTTGCCAGTACATTTTGACTGCCTCCTATTGTGCCAGGAATAATGCTGGCTGCAAACATCTTATGGGTTAGCCTCTCTGAATTTGATTTCCTAGGGTTGTATTTCATGGTGGTTCTACACTGGTGTCAGTACAAAGCCCAATACGTAAGCCAGTATGTACACCATATCCCTCCATCAACTCCTCCCCAAATGACAAGGTGTGAATGCAAGCACTGTACCCCAGGAATTTCTTCATCTCTCAACCTTACTAACAAAATCTCATAGCCTAATTACACACCGCCTCTCCCAATAACATCAGTCCATGGTTACTATATAGTGTGCTCAGTGTTTTCACAGATTTTATTTCATTTTACTCTTACCGTGACCCTCTGAGGTGAGTTTTGTTATTTCCTTTTTACAAATAAAATGTCTGGAACTCAGGAAGGTTGTGTGACTTGCTGGACCGAACTCTTGAGTCGATCTAAATCCAAAGCCATTCTCCAAGTGGAAATATTTTCTTTGTTCTGCTCAGTATCTTTTTGATGGTTTTGAAATTCTTAATATTAATGTTCCAAGGGCCACAGATGGCTTCAACGTAAAGCCCTTACCTCTTTTCTTACCATTTCCCGTTTTCTTACCATTTTCCTGCTCAGACTCCGATAACGAAATACCACAGACGGAGTGGCTTAAAAACCAGGGATCTATTTTCTCATTGTTCTGGAGAAAGGAAGTCCAAGGTCAAGGTCTGAGGCTGCTCTCCATGGCTTGGAGATGGCCACCTTCTCTCTGTGCCCTCATGTGGCCTTTTCTCTGTGTGTGCATCCCTGCGTCTCTGCTTCTTCTTATAAGGCCACAATTATATTGAATTTGGTCCTCACTCATATGACCTCACCTAACCTTAATCACCACCTTAAAGACCCTATCTCCAAATGCAGTCACATTCTGAGGTATTGGGGTTTAGAACTTCAAGATACGGATTTGGGGAGGGGACACAATTCAGCCCATCACACTCCCTTATCAGGTGTGAAGGGTATAGTAGTCCTAGTTCAAGGAGGCCTCAATGGTCACCGGATTGAGCTGATGCTTCCAAGGGAAAGGATCCATTCACCTCCGGCACATGGCAGTCTGGCTTTCTCTCTTGTCATCCCCCTAACCCTGCTATCACTTCTCACCAGGAGCTACAGGGACGGTCTGCGGTCCTTATCTTTTTTTTTAATGTTTTTGTTGATCTTTTTAGAGAGAGAGTGAAAGGGGAAGAGAGATAGAAACATCCATGTGAGAGAGAAACATCGATAGGCTGCCTCCTGCACTCCCCCTACTAGGGATCAGGCCTACAACCCGGGCATACTCCCTGACCAGGAATGGAACTAGGACTTCTCCATGCATGGGACCATGCTCAATCCACTGAGTCACATTGGCAGGGCTGTGGTCCTTATCTTTTTTTTTTTTTTTTTTTTATCTCACCTGAGGATATTTTTCCATTTTTTTGTTCAGATAGAGTGTTTTTTTGTTCAGATAGAGTGGGAAGGAGAGAGAGGGAGAGGGGGAGAGAGAGAGAGAGAGAGAGAGAGAGAGAGAGAGAGAGAGAGAGAGAGAGAAACATCGACATGAAAGGGACACATCAAGTGGCTGCCACCCACATGACCCAAGTAGGGCTGGGGACAAACTAACTGCAACCGAGGTACATGCCCTTACTGGGAACTGAACCTGGGTCTCTCGGGACTGCAGGTCAATGCTCTAACCGCTGAGCCAAACCGGCCTGGGCTGTGGTCCTTATCTTAATTGACCTTTATTAAAGCATCAATGGGCACTGTTTATCCTCCCTTGGCAAATTCTCACACACCCAGGCTTCAGTTGCCAGATGTCTACTCGCCAATAACCCTGTCATCAATTTGATTTCCCATTTGCCCTGTTGTTTCTAGACTTTGCATCCAGCAAGGGCTCAATAAGTGCATGTTAAATCAAACCGAATAACATCAAGGTAGAGAGCTACCAAGTTGCTGGAGAAAATTACTGCCTCCTTCCTATAAAACAGTTTGGCCACCTGTATCTGGACCCTAAAAACCAGAGCTGCAAAGTAAAAGTCTACAGTAGCCAGATAAGCAATGCACACATATGATGTTGGTGGGTATAAGGAGACAATGATACAAAGACAAGGATGACAGGTAACTGACACACAGGACCGGGGAGATGGACCCCGATAACAGGGAGGGCTGGATCCCGAGGAGCTGGAGGGTGGGTGCCATCTGCAGGGGGAACCTCGGATCCCTCCAGCTGTGGACTTCCACGTGTGAAGACACACCTCGTGGTGCCTGATCTTCAGGCTTTCTCAAAGAAAGCCAGAAACCCAGATTTGTTTTTAATGTCCTGATGAAATATTCGTAACCAATTCCAAGCTTTAAAGTAGATGATCAATCTGAACCAAGGAAAACGTGTCTGGGAGCCAGGTGGGGCCCAGCTGTGAGTTTGCAAAGCCCTGAAGTAAAACATACGGGTCATTTGATGCATTCATACTACCCTGGAGTATGGGGACCCCCTACAAGATTTTGTTTTCAATGTTAGTAAGGGAGATGTGCTGGGGGCTGGTTGGCAGTTCTGGATGGAAGGGTGCTGATGACCTTAGTTTGAAGATGCCCTTTGTTATAGGATATTTGCCTGGGTGGGCCTGGTAGTCACAGGAAAGCAGGCACCAGTCAATGTTCTGGGGGAAAACTGTGAAGTCACCATGAAACCAAATGCTGTTCCACAGACCAAGGGGTTCAGGGTCTGTCTAGTTGTGCAAATGAACTACCTCTTTATCTTATTTTAGGGGGTACGGGCTCCTCGCGGGAACTGAACCCGGGACTCTCTGGTCTACAGGCCGATGCCCCAACCGCTGAGCCAAACCGGCCAGGGCTACCTCTTTTTCTTGATAGTGCCCTGAAAAGTAAGGAAAATATTTTCTCCAAAGAGATTTTGACTGGATTCCTGATGTCCCCAGCACTTTGCACGGGACCCCACAAATTATGCATAGGATTCCTGTTTGTCATCTTCCGTTGGTCATTTCTTGTGATTTGTTTTCTCCTCCTGCAGAACTGTTCTCCTTTCTACCTAATTTTTCACCCTTTCTCAAAGGGAGTCCCCAGAATGAGAAACTCTTCAGACGGCCCCCCATAAGTCCTCGGGGACACCCCCAATATCGACCTGGTCTTGAGTGATGCCATCACGGATACTTGAAACTTTTCGCTTACATTTTTTCATATAGGAAGCCTGTAGAGCTCTTAAGATCAGCGGGAGGGGGGAAAAATCGCTCCCAAGGCAGTCACTTCTGCGTCCGGGCGCGTTCCCTTTAAGGGCCGGGGCGGGGCCTGGCGGCGGCCAGCTTTCCCAGGGTGCCCCGCGCGCGCGCCGGCAGTTTGGCCACGTCCCTGGCCACGTCGCGCCCGCTCTCGCCATCTTCGCCGCTTCCTCTCAGGGGCTGCTCCGCCGCCTGAGCCGCCGAGCCCCGGGGCCGCCGCGCCGACCTCCGCCGCCATGAACATCTTCCGGCTGACCGGGGACCTGTCCCACCTGGCGGCCATCGTCATCCTGCTGCTGAAGATCTGGAAGACGCGCTCCTGCGCCGGTGAGCGCCGGGCGAGGCCCCGGAAAGGCTCGTGCGCGGGGCCGGGTCGCTCGGAGGAGCCGCCGACCTCGGCCGCCCCACAGCCCGCGGGCCCGCGCTGGCCGGACACGCCCCCTCGGCCGGCCTGGCGGGCGGCCGGACCCCGGCAGGCCGGCGGCCCCTCTCGGTGGGCGCTCGGGCCGGGGCGAGGTGTCGCGGCGCTGGGCCCCACTCCGCGCTTGGTTCGCTCCCGAACTGGCGCCGTCGGGGCGCGGAAGGCGCCCACCCGCCAGCGCGGGGCCCGGTTCTGCCCGGAAAGTTTGCCTGGTGGGGCCGGGCCGGGGGAGCGAGGCAGGCGCGCTCCGCACCCCCGGCTCTCCCGGGAGCCACCCCGCCGGCCCGAGCTGGGGGTCCGCGCGGGGTGCGGAGGAGCGAGGACGCTGCGAATCAATGGGACGGGCGGGAGGAGGAGGACGGGAAGGACCGCGGCGGGCTCGGCCTGACGTGGCAGCCAGGCCAGCGCGGTAGGTGGCGCGGGCGTGGGGAGAGGTCCCCTCGCCCCCCACCTCCCCCTTCGAGGACTGGCCTTTGGGTGAGGGGTCGGGTCGGGTCTGTCCGTAGCGTTCCGCGGGCTCTACCCCGCCTCTCGGGTCCACGGTGGCGCCCGCCGCGGGCGGGAGTGGGGGTGGGGGGCTCTAACGAAGTTTTTGGAGACAATTAAAGCAGCTTTGAGAAACTAAAGTCGTTGGTCGGGCCCCGAGTGCCTCTGTCTAATAACGGGGCGTGTTGAGCGCGCGGCGCCCGCAGGGTCCCGCCGCGGTCTCCGCGGTCTCTGCCTCCACGTCACCAGTGAGCTGGCGGCTCCCTCCCCGGGAGCGCACGTTTCGGGCCTGCGGTGCTGCGAGCCAGTGGGGCCAGTCCTGCCGCCGTGGACTTTTGCACTTTATCCACCCTACCTGTTTCAGAAAGGCGACTTTTTAAATGGCCGGTGAGACTTATTTTTGGCGCCCTGGCCCCGGTGAAATAACTCTGGATGAATCCAAGAACTGAATTTGTGCAGCGGCAGTAAAAGATGGGTTCCTGAAGGTGCCGGGCAGCAGAGGTTCCATTTACCTGATTGATTTCTAAAAATGTCCCCATCTGCAGTAACGCCACATCTTTGGTGGTTGTCCTCAGGCCTCCCCTCTCTCCCTGGGACATAACTGAGATCCAGGAAGTAAGCAAAACCAAAAAAGACCTTTGAGCAATCTAAGTGGATGTTACAAAGTCCACATACTGCATGAAACTGGTGTGTCAGGCTTGGAGGTGATCTCTCCATTTATACATAGTTCTGAGGGATTCCGTTGTAAGATGTCAGGGGTAATTGCACGGCTGTGATAGCTGACATGAGCACTTGCTGTGTACCACGTTGTGAGCTACAGGCCTTACCTCGGTTTATCCCCTGCAGTCCTTAAAATAACCTTATGAGGTGGGTGCTGTTCCCATTCTGTGGCGGAGGGAACTGAGTCTAAGGGAGGTGGAGCTACAATTAAAACAGAGGCAATCGATAACTCACAGTTAAGGATTTTGAAATACCTGTTTATTTTGTCCTAAGTTATTGCAGTTTAAATGTTCGATGCCAGACCAGTTGTTTAGGTCATTTTTGTTGCACTCAGAAAAAAAAAAGTTTCCTGCTTTATTGAGATATAATTGACATATGACGTTGTATTAGTTTTATGTGTACAACATAATGATATGTGTATTTTGCAAAATAGTTAACATCTATCATCACAGGTAGTTACAGTTTTTCTCCTTGTGATGAGAACTTTTAAAATCTGCTGTCTTAGCAGTTTTCAAATATACAACATAGTATTGTTAACTATAGTTCCCACACTGTGCATTATTTTATATATTATAGTTCTCACATTCCGGGACTTACTTATTTTATAACTGGAAATTTGTACCTTTAGAACCACCACCCATTTTGCCTCCTCTGACCCCAGGAAATGTTACTTTTAATGTTTATTTTTGCTCCAAAATTTTTGAATGAGACTTTTCATTTTCTTTCACATGTTTCTTAGAATCCCTGCCTCTGTCAAGTCATGAAGTTGAAGCATGATGTCTCCTAAATGTGTATCTAAACTAAGAAGTTAGTGCAACCCCAGATAGAAAATTCTTAAGGGAACCTTGAGTAATAAAGAAAAAGTGAGAATTTGCTCTTTTGTTTGTTTTTTAATATTCACTATTTTCATTTGGGAGATTTAGGAGCATTTAGGAAAATATAAAATACTTCAGCCAAAATAATTAGGAAGATAAATGGGTAAATTAAGTTAATGTGTGTTTGTCAAATATTCCTATAGTTAGCCTGTAGTTATAGGGCATTATTAAACTATTCTCATTGTCAGACTTTGGATCATTTTAGTGCTTGTACTTGAGACTTCCTGGCCTTTTAAAAATCTAAATCACCAGGATTATTTATTCAGAATTAAATTTGACTAGCTGCTTTGTTTTTCCATCCTAAATTATAAAAGTTGTTTAGAGACATTTGAAAGAGTAAGAATTTGATATGAGTTTCTCAAATAACTGGAATAGGAGACATGTACATCCAGGTTGTGTTTCTTACTTTGAAAATACTGGTATTGGGGTTCACTTTAGGAATTTGGCACCTGTTTTGAACATGCCTGCAGCTCCAGAACCACAGGGCTTTTTTTCTCTTAGGAAAGGGATGAGGCAGGCTAGTAAGGAAGCTGGAGATTATTTTCCTGACATTCTAATTTGAGAACGACTGCCTTAAAGGAGCTATCTTAAAGTGGGGGCAAAGGAGTTGATCTTGGTTTAGCTCTGTTTGAATTGGCATTGTCCTGTGTCTGTGTCTACCATTGCCTAAATGAAATGTGAGTTTCACATATTCCTGAACAATCATTGCAACTGGATCCACAATGTATTCAAGTTATCACTTTATTCTTGTCCTAAACACTGACCTGCATAGCCTGTGGAGAACAAACCTCAGTTATATAGTTATTAATAGTTCTGTGTCTATTACACTTAAATTACTAGTGGAATCCTTCTGAGATCCACATGTCCCAGCCATCTCCCTTAGTCTCTCCCTTCCCTCCTCCACCTATTGCTTGGATTGCTATGTAGGTTGTAGACTTGCATCCTACCAAACATTCCAGGAATGGGTCCTTGTGCTTCTTGTAATTGAACAGTTTATATTTTTGAAGTAAATGAAAAACACTTCATCTTTTATTGTTGTCTTTGAGTACTTCAATAAGCTTTTGCATCACATTCCCAGCTTCCCTGTTTGTAGCAGCTGTCAACCTCTGTTTTTTTGAGTGTCAGTCTCTTGAGTATTCATTTCTCTTCAACATTTATTGACCACCCACTATGTGCAAGACACTGGGGACACAATTCAGAGCAGCAGTTTGTAACTATCAAAGTTTCTGCTCTCAAGAAAGCTGCAATTTAGTTGAAATAATAAGATATATATATAAAAAAGATAAAAATGTAGGGTATTAAACCATAAAGGCAGTCAATCCTGTGAATGTGAATTTGCAGAAGGATTCTAGGGAAGTACTCCCTGACTTCCCAACAAGCAGTGTATAAAACCTCTATGAAGAAAGCTATAAGATTTTGCTGATGGACATAGAAGATGACCTGAATGTACGTTCAAACCCTAGTCCTGGATGGGACCAGGCAGGCTGGTGAGGAAGCAAGATGACACATCTCCAAATTTATTCAGAATATTATCAAAGTTAAAAGACAATGAACTGAGAGAAATAATCTGCAGTATATTTAAGTGACAGAGGGTTAATACCCATAAGATACTCATACAAATTAAAAAAAAAAAAAAAAAAAAACCCTGCCAAAACAATGGACAAAGTTGACAGTTCACAGAAGAATAACAGAAAGCCAGCTAAGCCTGAAAGAACGCCCAGCCTCACTGGTAGGTAGGAGCTCGGATAGTAAACAGCAGTGCATACCATCATTTGCCCACTGGGTGGGGAAAAGTAAGGTTGACAACATCTAATGTAGACAGGGTGTGAAATAAACGGTATTCTCATCTGGTGTTAGTGAATATGTAAATTGGCATGGCCTTTCTGGGGGAAGTTTGTACCAAACTTAAAGTTGCATATATTTAATCCCAGCAGTTCTAGGGAATCTGAACGACAGAAATTGTGTGTGAATAAACTATATAGTTATAAAGGTGTTTCCCTGGCCAGTGTGGCTCAGTGCATGGAGCATCGGCCTGTGCACTGAAGGGTTGCAGGTTCAAGTCCCAGTCAAGGGCACGTACCTAGGTTGCAGGTTTGATCCCTGGTCTCAGTCAGGGCGCATGTAGGGGGCAGCCAGTCAATGTTTCTCTGTCTGTTTCTCTCCCTCTCCCTTTCTCCCTCTCTTCCTCTCTTTTCCCTCCCCATTCTTCCCCTCACTTCCACTATAAAAATCAATGGAAAAAATATCCTTGGGTGAGGATTAACAAAAACAAAAAATTAAAATGAAATTTAAAAAAATAAAGGTGTTTGTTATACCTAATAAGTACAAAACACTGTTTATAAATAGAGATGTTTGTGCAGTGTTGTTAAGAACAAAAATTGTGAGCAACCCAAATATCATTAATTGAGTGGTCACACAAGTGCCTGTACATTAACACTATGAACACCATGCAGCCTTTGAAAAGGATGAGCTAGAAAGGGGGCTTAAAAAGGCCTGGAGCCTGGCCAGTGTGGCTCAGTGGTTGAGCATCCACCCATGCACCAAGAGGTCGTTGGGTCAATTCCCAGTCAGGGCACATGCCCAGGTTGTGGGCCAAATCCCCAGTGGGGGGCATGCAGGAGGCGGCCAGTCAATGTTCTCTCTCAATGATGTTTCTATCTCTACCTCTCCCTTCCTCTCTCTCTCTCAAATCGAGAAAGGGGGCCTGGAAGGTGGGAAGGGTGTTTTTAAAAGGCTGTTTGCCTTCTATTCCATATATTTTAGCCCTGTTGGAGTTTTTAATAGAATAGCATGGATTTCTTTGAAAACAAGAAAAATGGCAAACAGTACACAGGAAGAGCTGTCATTTATCAAGCATGCAATATGTGGTAGGTATAGTATAAAGCACTTTTTCTCTTTCCATCCAAATTACCCCAGTGATCTGATCCACAGTACTTGGTTGCAAACTTGTTTTGTAAAACACTATTTTAAAAATAGGTTTTGCACACAGGCCGGTTTGGCTCAGTGGTAGAGTGTCAGCGCAAGAACCAATGAGTCCCGGGATCGATTCCGGCCAAGGGCACGTACCTCAGTTGCAGTTCATCCCAGGCTCTGGTCAGGGTTGTGCAGGAGGCAACCAGTCCATGTGTCCCTCTCACATCAATGTTTCTCTCTCTCCCTGTCTCTCCCTCCTACTCTACCTGAAGATAAATAGAAAAATATCCTCAGGTGAGGATTAAAAAATATATATGTATGGTTTTGCCCTGTCCAGGTGGCTCCGTTAGTTGGAGTTGTGGGCTTAATTCCCTATCAGGGCACATATGTAGGTTGCAGGTTCAATTCCTAGTTGGGGCACATGCAGGAGGCAACCGATTGATGTTTCTTTCTCACATCAATGTTTTTCTCTCTCTAAAATTAATAAACATCTTTGGGTGAGTATTTTAAAAAATGTTTTTACATTCTGTAGGTGTATTGCTAATAATTTAGGTGCAGTGACATCTGCAGGTGCTTAAATAAGCCTAATAGTCTGAGGTTTGCAGTGTTGATGAGGGTGGATGGGTTCTGCCATCTAGTAAGGCTCAGTTTCCTTACTGAAGTCACTCAGTCTCCAACATTCGAAACCCTTAGTGTATGTCCTTCATCACAAATATTTGGCCAAATATAGATACTGGAAAAGCCCAGTGCATGCTATGTGTGTGACCTTCTAGACTTCCCCAGCTGAGTCCAGATGTGCCACAGTCAGTGCTCTGGAGGTGGGTTGGTGGTTGGAAGTGGAAACAGTTTCAAGGGGTTAAATAAAAAAAGACTGCTGCTTTGAAGACTGGCTGTGTGAGTAGGAGGTTGGTTGTGTGATGAATCTAAGAGATGGAATTTTAAAAAATTGTTTAAAAATTTTTTAAAATGTCCAAGTAAATGCTGCCATCACAAAAGAAGTCACCTTGGAGGCCATGCCAGGGGGCTGATGCTCAGACTCTTACCTGAAGCAGTGTTTGTCATCTCCTCACTTATAGAGTCCAGCTTCATCCTTGAAAGATTTGTTACCATGAGATACTGTTTCCTGGTGAAAAGGAAGTTGACAGACAAGTTACAACACTAAATAATAGCAGAATGTTTTAAGTAAACGTATTCCTACCTAAAGTGACATATTTGAGAAATAAATATGCATTTGAACAATATATATCCTGGTATATTGGGTCTGGCATAAATAAGTCACTTTCCTGTAGTCACCCCATCATAGTAAGACATTGTTAGCACCTCCCCAGAGAAGCACGTTTAAGAATGTTAAGGGAAAGAAAACTAAAACTATCATTTATTTAGAGTCATCCCAGGCATCAGCCCTTGACCCCTGGTGTCCCACTTTCCAGATCTGCTTCATGCACAGTGTTATCTACAGGAATCAAAAGTCGTCCAGGCTTTTCTAATACTTTCCTTTTGTTTCTTTAGGTATTTCTGGGAAAAGCCAGCTTCTCTTTGCACTGGTCTTCACAACTCGTTACTTGGATCTTTTTACTTCATTTATTTCATTATATAATACATCTATGAAGGTAGGTGTGGCATGCAATGGAAAGTATTTTCATTGAATTCATAATTCATAGACCTATAGAAACTTATTGAGCATTTTTTTTCCCGTTTCAGAGCAGTATCTATTTAATTAAATGCTTTGCACTTAGAAATGTTTTAAATTCCTTGAGTATGATAAACTTCTAACGTTCTTTTTTTTTTATCCTCACCCGAGGACATTTTTGCATTTATGTTCAGATAGAGCGGGGAGGGAGAGACGGAGGAAGAGAGAGAGAAATATCGATGCGAGAGAGACACATTGAGTGGCTGCCACCCACATGACCCCAACCAGGGTCGGGGACAAACTGCAACCGAGGTATGTGCCCTCAGCAGGAACCTAACCCGGGACTCTCTGGTCCGCGGGCCGACGCTCTAACCACTGAGCAAAACCAGCCAGAGCTCTAATGTTCTTGATAACCCTATAAGAAAGAGGGGTGCCCAGCCGGTGTGGCTCAGTGGTTGAACATCAACCCATGCACCAAGAGGTCGCCAGTTCAATTCCTGGTCAGGGCACATGCCCAGGTTGTGGGCCCAATCCCAGTGGGGGGCCTGTAGGAAGCAGCCATTCGATGTTCTCTCTCATAGATGTTTCTATATCTCTCTCTAAAACCATTAAGGAAAAAAAGAGGGGTAAGCCCTAGCTGGGTGGCTCAGTTGGAGTGTCGACCCATGTACCAAGAGGTCACCGGTTTGATTCCCAGTCAGGTCATATACCTGGGTTGTGGGTTTGATACCCTGTCTGGGAGTGCACAGGAAGTGGCCGATCAATATTTCTCTCTTCCACCCGCTCCCTTCTCTCTAAAATCAATAAAACATATCCTCGGGTGAGGATTAAAAAAGAGGGTGGTACCCTGGCCGGTTTCGCTCAATGGTTAGATCATTGGCTTGTGGATCAATGAGTTGCGGGTTCAATTCCAGTCAAGGGCATGTACCTCGGTTGTGGTTCGTCCCCAGCCCTGGTTGGGATCGTGTGGGAGGCAACCAGTCAGCGTGGCTCTATCACACCAGTGTTTATTTCTGTCTCTCTCTCTCCCTCCATCCCACTCTATCTGATAATAGGTAGAAAAATATCCTCTGGTGAGGAATTAAAAAAAAAAAGAGGGTGGTAACTCACGTTCTCAGGCAGTGGGAAATTACAGGCTCCCTGGGAAGCCCAGCCAAGCAGTTCGGATGAGGGATGAAAGGCCTGGCTCCTCGCCGCAGTGCCTTGTTTTGCTGTTGAGGGCCTGTGTGGGGCGTCTGCTTCTTTTCCATACACTTCTGTGTGTGTACCATCTGTACTACTTTTGCCAAGCTTAAATACCATCTGGACCATAATTTACTACATGTGTAAACCTTTATCCTCAGCATTGGTATCAGTGCTACCTTTGCATATACCTAATATCTTGTGTAACACTGATGACACACACTCCACACTTAGAGAAGCCTCAGTTCTGTCACGAACTATTGGACTTATACTAACGGAGTGCCCACGGGGTTGGGCACTTCCCGAGTGCCAAGGGAGGACAGAAAACAAGCAGAAGTCATGGTCTGGTGGAGAGAGTGGACAGTCATCCCAGTGCTGAATGAGTGGCTGTGGTTTGTGGCGGGTGCTATGAAAGAAAAGTGCAGGGTTCTCAGGATGTACAAAGGAGTCTGATTTCATTCATTCATTCATTCATTCATTCATTCTTCAGATGCTTAGTGAGTACCTGTGTGCTGGGCACTACTGTAAGCACTTGGTTATTGGCACAGCCAAGAAAATAATATTTAAGCTGAAGCCTATTGGTGTGGTATTTAAAGCAACTCCCCAATACTTTAATCATTCCATTCCTCATTACTAAGTGATAGGAGCCTAGTGATCAGGAAGTTGGCTTACTTAAAAATACCTGCATCCCTGCTTGTCCAGGCAATTTATAACTGCAGGTATTAGAAGTGTGTGAGCAAGAATCCTCTTCCCCTCAGGATATCGAGCTTTCGGAAGAACCCTTCAGCTTGGGTCTATTTTCCACTCAACATCCTAAAAATCAGGAGTACATGTCGAGTTTTATGTGCTCGTAGCTTTTTTTTTTTTTTTTTTTTAATCCTCACCCGAGGACATTTTTCCACTTTTTGTTCAGATAGAGTGGGAGGGAGAGAGAGGAAGAGAGAGAGAAACATCGACGTGAAAGGGACACATCGAGTGGCTGCCACCCGCACGACCAACCAGGGCCGGGGACAAACTGCAACCGAGGTACATGCCCTTAGCGGGAGTCAAACCCGGGTCTCTCCAGACCGCAGGCCGACGCTCTAACCGCTAAGCCAAACCGGCCAGGGCTGTGCTCGTAGCTTTTTACTTTAAATGCCAAGCACTCATGAAAGGAGAAAAGTGGTTGCTCTCCCCAGTGGTCACTAAGCCTTTATGGACATAATCTGGACAGGCAATAGACTGGGTGCTGTGTGCCTTGACCAGATGTTCTGCTGGTGGGGACTCTGTACATTGATTTTTTTGTTTGTTTTTTTATCCTCGCCCATGGACACTTTTTTTTCTTTCATTTATCTTCAGATAGAGCGGGAGGGAGAGAAGGAGGAAGTGAGAGAGAGAAACATCAATGTGAGAGAGACACATCGAGTGGCTGCCACCCACATGACTCCAACCAGGGCTGGGGACAAACTGCAACTAAGGCATGTGCCCCTAGTGGGAACCAAACCCAGGACTCTCCAGTCCACGGGCCGAAGCTCTAACTGCTGAGCCAAACCGGTTGATTTTATTTTTACATGTATGTTATTTTATTTCATTCATATACGTGTATGTATATATTTGCATGTGGAGAGAACTCTAACAGTATAAGATTAATCTTTGTTGATTTTTTGGGGGGTAGTTTTTTGGCATATGGATGGGTATGACGGGAATTTTTTTATTCCTCTTCAGAGGATATTTTCCTACTTATTATCAGGTAGAGTGGGAGGGAGGGAGAGAGAGATACAGAGAGAAACATTGATGTGATAGAGCCACATCAACTGGTTGCCTCCTGCACGACCTGACCAGGGCTGGGGACAAACCCCAACTGAGGTATGTGCCCTTGACCAGAATCGAAGCCATGACTCATTGGTCTGTGGGCCGATGCACTAACCGCTGAGCCAAATTGGCCAAGGCATGGATGGGTGTGACCAACAATTTAAATATATTGTTGACTCTTTATTTGCAAATATAACTCATGATGAAGTACCTGGGACAGTTTAGTGTCTTTGTTTTGAAGCATATGCCGGCTTGATGATTGCTTTCCTTGTCCTATTAAGTCGTTTGCCCAAGTGCTGCCCCTAATTAAGCTCGCAAGGTGCTTTTCCTAAGTAGTACAGACAGTGAAGCTGGTATCCCAATTGTCTTTATTCATAGGCTAAACCTGCATTTTGGTTCCGGGCCTAAAATCCTGCATTCTGAAAATTGGTGTAATTTCAGAATGTCATACTTTTCTTTTGGGTCAGATGAACATACGGTGTTTTGACTTTTGAATGTGCAAGAACATATTACATAATTGTAAGCCCTTGAATAACTATAATGCTGCACAGCTGAAATCGTTCCCTATTGTAGGAAGCAATGTTTTACAAATTGTCGCTTACTTTTGGTTTTGCTTTTGTTATGTTACCAGACAAAATGTCATAGCAATAATCTAAATGTTAAGTGTTAAAGTAACACAATTTAACTAAAAACCATCATTTTGTAAAGTTTAACATGAGTTACATTATTATTTTGTTGTTGTTAATCCTCATCTGAGGATATTCTTCCATTAATTTTCAGATAGAGTGGAAGGGAGGGAGGTGGGGGGTGAGAAAGAGAGAAACATTGATGTGAGAGAGACACATTGATCCATTGCCTCCTACACCCCAACCAGATCTGGGGATCAAACCTACAACCCATGTACATGCCCTTGACCAGGAATCAAACCCGTGACCGTTTGGTCCACGGGCTGATACTCTAACCTCTGAGCCAAACTGACTAGAGCATGAGTTACAGTCTTTTATCTTAGAAAAAGCAGTACTAAGAAATATCCTCCTGTCTGGCTGGTGTGGCTCAGTGGTTGAGCATCGACCCATGTACCAGAAGGCGCCGGGTCGATTCCCGGTCTGGACACAAGCCCAGGTTGTGGGCCTGATCCCCAGTGGGGGGCATGCAGGAGGCAGCCAATAGGTGTTCTTTCTCATCAATGTTTCCATCTCTCTCTCTCTCTCATTTTCTCTCTAAAATCAATACAGGAAAAAATGAAAGAAAAAAGAAATATCCTGATGGTAGAAGGAAGTACATTGGTTTTGAACTGCACTGAACTTTGCATTCTTTTTTTTTTTCTTAAGCTACATCCTAATAGTTTAAAATGGGATTAAAAATACATTCTTTGGCCCTGGCCATGTTGGCTCAGTGGTTACATTGTCAGCCCATGGACCAAAGAGTCACGGGTTCGATTCCAGTCAAGGGCACGTACCTCGGTTGCAGTTGGTCGCCGGCTTGGTTGGGTTCATGTCGGAGGCAACCAATCTGTGTGTCTCACATCGATGTTCTCTCTCTTTCTCTCTCTCTCCCCCTCTCCCTTCCCTCTCTATCCCACTCTATCTGAAGATAAACAGAAAAATATCCTCTGGTGAGGATTTTTTTAAAAATACATTCCTTGGCAGTTTCTCATAAAATTACACTTGTACTTAAGATTTGATCCAGCAATCCCACTCTTAGGTATTTACCCAAGAGAAATGAAAAATCAAACAAAAGCCTATACATAGGAAGCAGCCTTCTTGTCCTTAACTGGTGAGTGGGTGAATAAATTGGTCACTGCACAGTGGGCTGCTGCCACTACTCCACAGCAGAAAGGAGCCACTTATTTTATTAGTACACCAACAACATGGTTGGACCTCAGATGCATAATGCTAATTGAAAGAAGCTGGTCTTAAAGTTGACATATTGTATGATTCCATATATGCAGCATTCTAGAACAGTCAGAGTTACAGAGACCAAGGACAGATCAGAGATTGCCAGAGATCAGGCCTGGGGGGAAAGGCTTGACCAACAAGGGGCAGCATGAGGGAGTTTTTTGTGGGTACTAGTACTGATCTGTTTCTTGATTGTGATGGTGGTTATATGACTCACAGAACTGTATACCTCCCCAGAAATGAATGTTACTATATTTAAATTTTTAAAATATATATATAAGGTATTCATGACCTGGTGTTTTTCTTTTGCTTGTAGCTTATCTACATTGCCTGCTCCTATGCCACAGTGTACCTGATCTACATGAAGTTTAAGGCGACTTATGACGGAAACCATGATACCTTCCGAGTGGAGTTTCTGGTGGTCCCTGTGGGAGGCCTCTCATTTCTGGTCAATCATGATTTCTCTCCTCTCGAGGTTAGTTAAGAGGTTATTTAGTGGCCACGTCCGGTTCCCTAGGGAAATAGACCTGTTTGCAGATAATGTGGGGTCGCTGTTTTGTTGTATTTTTTTTTTTTTTTTTGTATCCTCACCCGAGGACATTTTTCCATTTTTTGTTCAGGCAGAGTGGGAGGGAGAGAGAGGAACAGAGAGAAACATCGATGTGAAAGGAACACATCGAGTGGCTGCCACCCGCACGACTGACCAGAGCCGGGGACAAACTGCAACCGAGGTACGCGCCCTTAGGGGGAACCGAACCCGGGTCTCTCAGGACCGCAGGCCGACGCTTTAACCACCGGCCAGGGCTTTTGTTGTATTTTTTTTTCTCCGGTTTGGCAAGCTTCTGGTGCGATATAAACTATTTAGTATAAAGAAATTGTAGACAGGAATTAAGCCCCAGGTATTTGGGTGTCTGCAGATAGGTTATTGCCTGACTCCTCTAGAATATAAACCTGGCTTCTATGGTACCAAGCACCGTGCCCTGCCTGTTGGAATGTTTGGTGAACATGATCTTCTCCACACTCTAACGCAACTTTGTTTCCCGTTTTTTTTTTTTTTTAATCACCCGAGGACACTTTTCCATTTTTTGCTCAGTAGAGTGTGGGGGGGACATCAATGTGAAGGAGACATCAAGTGGCTGCCTCCTGCACGACCCCAACCCGGGCCAGGGACAAACTGCAACTGAGGTACATGCCTTTAGCGGGAACCAAACCTGGGTCTTCCCTGGACCGCAGGCCAACACTCTAACCACTGAGCCAAATCGGCCAGGGCTGTTTCCCTTTAATGTATGGGTATCACATGTTGATACTGTCTGTGACTTCCCTAATCAATGCTTCTGCTATGCTCCTCAACTTTAGGAAAAGTAGTTCGCATGATGCCCTGGCACTGTTTGTTGGGCAGAGTTTGCATAATTGACAACTCCGATTTTTTTACCCCTTTGATTTAACTCCACCAAAAAAGCCTAAAGAATAAGAAAAATAGACTATTTGGATAGTCTGGAAAGGAGACCAATTGATGAGGAAAATTAGCAGTGAGGGAGTGCAAGGAGCCTGGTTATCAGTGTGGTCCACCCTGGCAGAAAGCAGGGTTAACTTGGGACCATAGATTCAGACTGGGGCAAACTTATCCAGGAGAAACATCAAAAATGTAGATTTACAGAGATTTGTGCAGGGAAGAAAGCAGCATTGGAGAGACGAGGTAAGAACATACAGAGAGGTAGCGGTGGCCCTGACTGGTGGGGCTCAGTTGGTTGAATGTCATTCCGTATACCGGAAGGTTGCTAGTTCGACTCCTGTGAGGGCACATGCCCAGGTTGTGGATGCACATGGGAAACAACTGATGGATATTTCTCTCTCACGTTGATGGTTTTTTCTCTCTCCCTCTCCTTTCCCCTCTCTCTAAAATCAGTAAAAACTTTTTTTTTTTTTAAAGATAAAGGTGTCCAGCCCTGGCCAGTCTGGCTCAGCAGTTAGAGTGTTGGCCCGCAGACCAGTGAGGGGCGGGTTTTATTCTGGTCAAGGACACGTACCTTGATTGCGGTTTATCCCTGGCCCTGGTCGGGGTTGTGTGGGAGACAAACAGTTGATGTGTGTCTCTCATATCGATGTTTTTCTCTCTCTTCCTCCTGCTCTATCTGAACAAAAATGGAAAATTATCCTCAGGTGAGGATTTAAAAAAAAAAAGTAAAGGTAGAGGTGTGCAGGTGACCTAGATTGTCACTGGGAGTGTCCATGATTTAACAAAATTGCTCCCCTGCTCTGTCCTGGGCTCAGATGCCCAGTCTCCCCGCTTTCTCTGCTGCTCCACAGTGGAGCAGGAGTGTTTCCTGTGCCCATGGTGGGCTCTGGGTGCTGACCGGGGCCTGTGCTCTCCCTCGCAGATTCTGTGGACCTTCTCCATCTACCTGGAATCAGTGGCCATCCTTCCGCAGCTCTTCATGATCAGCAAGACTGGGGAGGCGGAGACCATCACTACCCACTACCTGTTCTTCCTGGGCCTCTACAGGGCGCTCTATCTCGTCAACTGGATCTGGCGCTTCTACTTTGAGGGCTTCTTTGACCTTATTGCTGTGGTGGCAGGTGTCGTCCAGACCATCCTCTACTGCGACTTCTTCTACTTATACATCACGAAAGGTGTGTGCCCTGCTCTGCTTGCTTCGTTCCCGCAGCACTGTTCCTTCAGGAGCCCGGCCCGCACGCTCCTGCTCTGGCACTGGCTCTGGCTCTCGCCAAGCACAACGGGCTCAGAGACACATGTCAGTGACTGTCAAGTACAATTCTGGGTCCAGTTTTTAGTCTTTTTCTTTGCTGTAGCTGTAATGTTTTTTACAATGGCATATTTTCACTGTAAAAAATTCAGTCATACTTACCTGGCAAGGGAGATACCATGATCATGAAGGTGGTTTTCCCAGGGCGAGGCTTATCAGTTACACTCTGAATGTGCTGACCCCTCTGATTTCCCCAAATGTGGGAAATTGGACTGCATAATATGTGGTAGTGGGGGACTGCATTCTCCCCTGGGGGGAAAATTCAGTCAGAATTAATATTTCTGAAAACAATCACTTGAAATCCTGCCACTCAGATCCTTGTTACTATTGCAGTAAATGTAATTCCAGCGCTCTCTATATAGATATACACAGATACATGGTTAAACTACACGTGCTATTCTATAATCTGCTTTTTCCCCATTCACAGTTTTTCATGTCAGTAAATAGAAATCTGTGTGATATTCAGTAGCCATATATTTCATTATGTGTATTACCATAATTTCCTTAGCCCCTGTTCTTAGATATTCAGACTATTACTGCTATTTTGCTGCTATTAAAAGTCAGTGCTGCCCTGGCCGGTTTGGCTCAGCGGTTAGAGCGTCGGCCTGCGTCCGTAAAGACCCGGGTTCGGTTCCCGCTAAGGGCACGTACCTCGGTTGCAGTTTGTCCCCGGCCCTGGTTGGTCGTGCGGGTGGCAGCCACTCGATGTGTCCCTTTCACATCGATGTTTCCCTCTCTCTCTCTTCCTCTCCCTCCTACTCTGTCTGTACAAAAAATGGAAAACTGTCCTCGGATGAGGATTAAAAAAAAATAATAATAAAATAAAAGTCAGTGCTTAAGTCACCATCCTTGTGTATATATGTACCTTTCTCCATTTATATAAATGTAGGACAAGAAAACTTCAGAGAACTCTGGTGAAAGCTCTTACTCAGGAAAAAGTGCATATTTATGCAAATGCACATAGGTTTATGCACGTAGTTTTAGGGGATTCAGGAGCTCCTGAAACCCAGCTGAGACCCAGGCTAAGAACCATTGCTATACAGTAAAATTCCTAGTGGTGGAATTGCTGGTACCAGGGCATATGTATCTTATCTCTCTTTTTTTTTTTTTAATCCTCACCCGAGGACATTTTTCCATTTTTTGTACAGACAGAGTGGGAGGGAGAGAGAGGAAGAGAGAGAGAGAGAAACATCGACATGAAAGGGACACATCGAGTGGCTGCCACCCGCACAACCAACCAGGGCCGGGGACAAACTGCAACCGAGGTACATGCCCTTAGCGGGAACCGAACCCGGGTCTCTCCGGACCGCAGGCCGACGCTCTAACCGCTGAGCCAAACCGGCAGGGCTTATCTCTTATTTTTATTTGTTTTTCTTTATTGATTTTAGAGAGAGAGGACGGGAGAGGGGGGGAGAGAGAGAGAAAGAGAGAGAAACATCAATGAGAAAGAACATCAATTGGCCGCCTCCTGCATGCCCCTCACTGGGGATTAGGCCCACAACCTGAGCATGTGCCCCGACTGGGAATCAAACCGGTGACCTCTTGATGCACAGGTTGACACTCAACCACTGAGCCACACCGGCTGGGCATTTATCTCATATAACACCCAAATTTTACAAACTTCTGTTCATAGGGACAGTTACATTTTAGTATGTGTTGATTAGGGAACAAAGTCATAACAACAAGGTGCTATGAATTTAGCAACAATTTCAATCAAGTTTGTGTTTCTTACCTACAATTGCTATGGCGTCCAGATACATGAAGAAAATTTCACTCTATGTGTGCATGATGTTTTTATAGCTGAGAGGTCTTTGTTTATTGACACCAAAATCCAATGACTGTTGGTTGTCATAAGCTTACTTCTTTGAACCTTACCATAGGGTAGCTTCAGTGTCAGTAACATTTTGTTTTCTCTTTCTCTCAAATTCTAGTACTCAAGGGAAAGAAGCTCAGTCTGCCAGCGTAAGTGCCAAAGACCATCGCCAGCATCTGTCCTTCAGGGTGCTCGGACAGAATACTCACCACAGCAAAGGCACAAGATGCTCGATACGGAAAATCAGAAACTTAACTCTTTTGTTGCAGATAGTCATCAGTGGCTCTGTAAGAACCCAGAGGAAAAGAACCAGACGGTTTCTGTTTAATGCATCTTGCCTTATCTTTTTTTATTACTATGTACAAAGATTTTTTTACACAAAGAAACTTAATGCTGTATTAATAAATTCAGTGTGTAGCTTCTATTGGGGTAGGTCCAAAAGTGAAGATTTTGTGAGAAGTAGTGCAAACTTCCTTGTTTTTAAATTCTTTGAAATTTTTGATTCTTTGTGTCTGCAATGAAATTGTACTCCTTGACAGTTGGTAGATTATATATTCTTCCATCTATCAAACTTGCATTCCACTATATTTATTTTTGCCAAAAGATGAGTCATATTTGTTTGAATTCTGAGATGCTATGTTCAATTTGGTGTATCTGTTCAAATTTCTTCCACCGGGTGTGGAAACCCTCCCTTGGACATCACACTACATTTAAGGCTGGTAAGGATGACATGCAAGTCTTATGGTTTTCATTACCAAAAATTTTGAGATTCTGAATGTAGACAGAGTCTTCATTTGAGAGTCACCAAAGGTGCCTGCCCCCTCCCCTGCTAAGAAGTGTCAGTTTGAGACTGACCCAAGGGTATCGAAAGACTCGGTGGGCAGGGGTTCTGGGCTGCTTGCCAACTGAGTGCGGGATGTGAGGGACATTGATGATTATTTTGAATCTAGGACTTGACTCCTCTGAGGAATAGAATCTATCACTTTTAGTTTACAATTCCATAAGATTACTACAACCATGTCTATGCTCAGATTCCAATGGTTTTTCAAATCACTTTGGGTAGTAAATGATTTACATATTTTTAAATTGGCAGCACCAATTACCATTCCTTATAGTCTTACTTTTGGTTGTTTTTACTGAGCTCTTGCATGATTTATCTTGTGTTACCACCTTAATAAACATTTTATTAAACATAGAATAAACTGTCTCTTTTTCCTGAATTAGGCTTTTGGAACATCCTGTGTCAGGATGATTTTTTTGTTTGTTTTTTGTTTGGCAACCAAAGCTCTATATAGGGCTGCAAACATTTATTGTCCACTTAATGATCTCTAAAGCTTTCTGTATTTTGTGGGAAAATTGGAATTTTTCCTCCTGATTTTGCCATTAGATTGATTCGCTACATTTTTTTGATTTATGCAAAAACATGAATGCATCATAACTGTTAAAATGTTGAATACTAACAGTGCCTACTACAAGAAGGGTGTAGTAGGTTTGCTTGCTGCATTAAAATACCTTGTGGAGGAAGGGAACTGGGTGGGTTTTGTTTTTATCCAGTGTGTCTCTTAACATCTTTCTCAGTTGGCTGTGTGACCGCATGGTTTAATCTCACTGTCTTTACCTCTCTCATTTTGCTTCCACCCTTGCCTCATGGTTTTGCTTTTGTGTATCAGTATCTCTTTCTAGCATCCTTGTCTGGGTTTAGTTTCTGTTTTCACCCTCCTCTGAAGATCCTGAGAGCGTGGAGGAAGGGGAGGAAATCCCATCATTAGTGGAGCAGACTGCTTGCTGCCCTGACTGGGGATGGAGTGAAGGCTCTCACAGGCTTTTGTGCATGTAAACCAGACCCCAGTGGGGCTCGTGCATGGGACAGCACAGCACACAGACCTTGGATCTGGGACTTAAGCACGCCGCCTGATTGATGAAGTATCTGCTTTCTCTGGTCACTGCCCAAGTAAAAATAAAATTGCTGAGATGTGACAACCACATTGTGCCCAACCAGGATGACATCTTAATAAACAGGCTGTCTGCGTGGGAGTGTGGGACTCGGGCAGTGCCCTGGCGCAAGTTGGAAACAGGTCTGCTATGGCACGCCTTACGGAGCACTGTTCTAGAGTAACTCACTTCCTGAATAAAGGTCGTCAGGTAATTAATACTTTTTATTGAAATGTTTTATTTGTGTGGACTTTTTCCTTTTCTAATGTAAGCACAAAGAGAAATAAAGCAAAGTTAACACATTTCTCACTAAGTGGTAACTCCAAAAAGCTGCTGGCCTATGGCTGCTTACAAACACTGGTCCATCCCCTGCCCAGTTCAGTCCGTTTCAGAATGACATTTCCTGCTTCCTTATAGTTTGGTCAAAAGAGGAGAAGGTAAAAGAAATAGGTGGCAAAAAAAAAAAAGGGTGGAAGGCCTTGCAAGAAGATCTGGCCTTTCCAAAGATGCCACTAGGTTGGACAACTTCCTGGAAAGGTCAAGCAATGATTTCATTTCAATAGGAAGTGATTAGTGGGAACCCTGAATAAGAAAAGCACAAGTGCCCCCGGTTTGGCTCAGCCGGTAGAGCATCAGCCTGCGGTCCAGAGAGACCCGGGTTCGGTTCCCGCTGAGGGCATGTACCTCGGTTGCAGTTTGTCCCGGCCCTGGTTGGGTTGTGAGGGTGGCAGCCACTCGATGTGTCCCTTTCACATCGATGTTTCTCTCTCTCCTCCCTTCCTCCCTCCCTCCTGCTCTATCTGAACAAAAAAATGCCTGAACAAAAAAATGCCCTCCGGTGAGGATAAAAATAATAATAACTAAAAAGAAGAAAGAAAGGCACAAGCTTAGGGGGTCGGCCTTGTGTTAAGATTCTTGGCTCCCCACACTACAGATCTGTGACCCTGGACTGAACATGTGCCTGTCCCCTCTTAGATGCCTAGGCTGCTGCCACCTCCATGAGGTGTAAATGAGCACAGGTGGGGGGAGTTCAGGATACAGCTTGGTGCACAGTAAGTGCTTAGAGCCAAGGTGACCCCCTTTCCCCTCCGTTTGTGATTACTTTGGGACAACTTCCTCAAAAGTGGCAGGAACCAGTTCTGGCAGGAGGCCCTCTGGCCCATTTGATGGCATTGGTCAGCTTTGCCCTTGGGGGAGCAATGCATCTATAGAAAGCGACTCCTAGGTACCTCCCAAACCACCCATCCCTGTGAGGTCTGATGAGGGCTGATCGCACTGGGACTCCAGGTGGGATTTTTCTGTGCGCCTCGCCCTCTAGTGGCTAAGTGTGGAATTTTCAAGGAACCTGCGCTCTGCCCAGTAGGTTCCACAAGACATTCCCCCACCCCAAACACACACCTGATCTGGGTTAGCCTTTGCAGCATGGTCTTAGCAGGTACTGTGGGTATTTCTCCTGCAGTTTTGAAACAATTCCTTCCTATACCTGCAACTTAAAAGCAAAATGAAGCATAATATAGCACTGTTCTTTTCAACAGTGACATGGGTACTTTAAAAAAAAATACTAGATTACTTAAGATCTAGTTTCGCCTTGGGCACTTAAAAGGTGAGGTCTTTAGGCAAACGTTGCACTATACTTGACTCTATTACCAAAACAGAATGGAAATACAGAACCTATGTACTCATACAATTTCTAAGACAAATGGTTTTGTGCCCTAAAACTAAAACCATTACTTGTTTACTTAAAGTCCTGAAAAGTGAAGATCTCAAGACTGTAAAGAATGCTTAGAAAAGCAAAGATCCCTCTGACTGGTGTGGCTCAGTGGTTGAGCGTCGACCCATGCACCCAAGAGGTCGCCAGTTTGATTCCCTGTCAGGACATATGCCCAGGTTGTGGTCCTGATCCCCAGTGGGGGGCATGCAGGAGGCGGCCAATCGACATTCTCTCTCATTGATGTTTCTATCTCTCCCTCTCTCTCTAAAATCAATAAAGAAGAAAATTAAAAATAAAATAACAGCAGAAAATACCAAAGGTTTTCCCCCCCAAAAATAATTCAAGTTGGAGCAAATACAGTAGAATGTTACCCCTTGTTAAATCTGGATGATGGGGCCTTAGGTGTCCTGCATCACTGTATTTGAACATTTTCATCATTAAAAAAGTCACGACAGGTCATATACCTTTTCTTTATTTTTATTATTAGTAGTATTATTATCCTCACCCGAGGACATTTTTCCATTTTTTGTTCAGATAGAGTGGGAGGGAAAGAGAGGAAGAGAGAGAGGGAGAGAAACATCGATGTGAAAGGGACACATCAAGTGGCTGCCTCCCGCATGACCCAGTCAGGGCCGGGGACAAACTGCAACCGAGGTATGTGCCCTTATCAGGACCCGAACCCAGGTCTCTCTGGACTGCAAGCCAACACTCTAACCACTGAGCCAAACCGGCCATGGCTCATTTACCTTTTCGAAAACTATGCTTTGCCTTGGATTCTCATTTTGTATGTAAATAACAAGAAATGTTTATTTTTAAAATAGATCTTTTTTTGTAATTCTATTTTAAAATAGCAGAAAATTGGAAAACCTGTGTTTAAAATAAGGGAATAATATGCTCCACATGATATACCTACATGAAATAATGTTTTAAAATAGGCCTAATTCAGCTAATGGATTGATATTACATGGAAATGGTAGAATACATTTGCAGTGATTAGAACTACAAAATATATTATTTTTTAAATGTACATACTACTGCCCAGCCGGTGTGGCTCAGTGGATTGAGCATCCTCCCTCAGTCCGGGTTCCATTCCTGGTCAGGGCACATGCCTGGGTTGCGGGTTTGATCCTCAATAGAGGGCGTGCAGGTGGCAGCCAATCCATGTATCTCTCACATCCATGTTTCTATCTCTCCCTCTCTAAAAAATCAATAAAAAATAAATAAAAAATGTGCATGCTACCTCTGAAATCATATAGTTTTTGGGTTCCTACTGTTTATAACATTTTCACATCTACCTTTACTATCAAAAGTTTATGTAGCCCTGGCCAGTTTTGCTCAGTGGTTAGAGCGTTGGCCTGCAGTCTGGAGAGACCCGGGTTCGGTTCCCGCTAAGGGCAAGTACCTCGGTTGCAGTTTGTCCCCAGCCCTGGTTGGGTCGTGTGGGTGGCGACCACTTGATGGGTCCCTTTCACATCGATGTTTCTCTCTCTCTCCCTCCCACTCTATCTGAACAAAATATCAAAAAATGTCCTCGGGTGAGGATAAAAAAAAAAAGTTTATGTAACATTGTCCTTTTTTTTTTTAATCCTCACCCGAGGACATTTTTCCATTTTTTGTTCAGGTAGAGTGGGAGGGAGAGAGAGAGGAACAGAGAGAGAGAGAGAGAAACATCGATGTGAAAGAAACACATCGAGTGGCTGCCACCCGCATGACTGACCAGAGCCGGGGACAAACTGCAACCGAGGTACATGCCCTTAGTGGGAACCGAACCCGGGCCTCTCAGGACCGCAGGCCGACGACGCTCCAACCGCTGAGCCAAACTGGTCAGGGCTTTTTCTTTTTTTCTTTTTTTTGTAACATTGTCTTTTGCTAAGCCTTACAAATCCTGTTTTCAAAAGGGAACAATTACATTTAAGAATATGTGATCACAGGTGTAACCTAACTTCTAACTCACCCTCTTACCTTAATTCCAACTTTTCCTCCAGATCTTATTTTACTATCTTCAAGGATACCCTCCCTGACCCCTCCTTACCTATTCAAGTGCACAGTAAATCTTAATTTTATGACTGGATGAGTAGCTCTCTTTTCTATGAAAACTTCATAACTTCCCCCATTTATAATTTCCTGTATTATTTTGACAACCATAAATACAATTTCAATATTATTTTTAGCCCCGAATATGCTCTTTAGAAGAGCCCTGAAGGAACTTAAGACTTGGAAGAGCTTGACATTTAAGGAGTGTTTATTCATTCATCAAATATTTATGCTCCATTATGTGCATAGCAATGGACAAGGTGGCCACGCTCATACCACTTACACTGGAAGGTGGGAGCAGAGAGGTAATAAACATGATAAATAACAGGGAGTGGTAAGTGCTGTGAAGAAAGCTGAAGCCTGGGAAGGGAATGGGAACCAATGGGTGTGGTCTTAGATAAGGTTATCAGGGAAGACCTGTTTGAGGCGGTGACACTAAAGCAGAGGCCTGAACGAAGTGAGTGACATGGAAATACCAGAGGGAGGAGCATCCCTGGCAGACGAAACAAAGAACGTAAAAAGCCCCGGGGCAAGAATGAGTTTCAGGGAGGGATAAAGGGCGGCAGGTAGTGGGGTGATGGAGGGAGAGAGTAGTCATTCTAACTCGGGGAGACAGGTAAACACTCATTTACGGACTTGTGATGTGGGACTTCCAGGGAACGGCTTCTGCGGGGTGGTCGGAGTCCATCCTCTATACAAAGTGCAGCCACGCACGACCCAAGGAGGACTGGCCTGGTCTGACGGTGCGACGAGGTCACCCTGCTGCTGTAGGGGGGGTGCACGGTAGGGGGAGGCAGGGCAGAGGGAAGAAGAGCAGTGGGGAGTCCAGCCCGGGCACGACCCGAAGGGGGCTCCGACCAGACTATTCCTCCGCCCCCAGCCCCAAGCTGCCAGGTGGTTTCAGGTCCTGAACCCTAGAAGGGTCTCCTGCTTCCTCTCTGGACCGCGGGATGCACCACAGGGGCGACTGCGTCACAGGCCTGGAGTCCCACCGGCCTGGGGTGAGCCCCAGAACCGCATTAGCAGCGGTGGTGCTCTGGGCTGAGCAATCCCTCCGGGCCAGACGAGCCCTCCTCTAGAAAACGGGAATAGAAGCAGAACCGACTTCACAGCCGCGCACACCTGCCAGAAAGCCCGCCGGCGTCTTCCGGGTCAGAGCACCTGCACAGGCGCGGAGGGGCCTCGGCGCGCGCATGCGCATGCGCCTGGCCCCGTGCTCGCGGGCGCCTGCGCCGAGCCGCGGTCAGTTCGGTTGTGGAGCCCGGAGGGCGCGGGACGCTGAGTGGCGGCCGGAGCGCGGCGGGCTGTCGCGAGGCCGGGCGGCGGAGCCTGCGCCATGCCGGGGATGGTGCTCTTCGGCCGGCGCTGGGCCATCGCCAGCGACGACCTGGTCTTCCCGGGGTTGTTCGAGCTGTGCCTGCGGGTGCTCTGGTGAGGACGGCGGGCGGAGGAGGGAGCGGGCGCGGGGTGTCGGCGGGCCGACCGCGAGGGGCGGCCGTGCGGTCAGGTGACAGCGGAGTCCGGGGTTTGCCTGGCGCCCTCTTGTCTCGTCCGGTCCCCGGGGCCCGAGGTGGGCGCTGCTCCTCCGCCCCTCGCCCGCGAGCGGCCCGGAGCAGGTGGGCGTGCCCGGGGGCCCCAGGTGGGCCGGCGACCCGGACGCACGCGCCCCGGGCTCGAGCAGCCCTGGGAGCCGCCGCGACTCCCCGGGCTCCCGAAAGCCGTAGCCTGGGGTCGTGCTTCCTCGAGCCAGAAGCAGCACCTGCACCCTTCCCGCACCCTGCTCCCCGCACCCCGCACCCCCTCAGTGAAAGATGGAAAGTTGCACCGCCCGGTGCGGGTCTCGAGCCGGGGGTGGCTGCATTCCACGAGAAGCAGACGAGCGTGGCATATTCGCTCTTGTCTGTCAAAGTGTGGAATCGGGGCCCGAGGTCTGTCCTCGGAGGATCTGAGCAAGGCATCATACCGTTGTTATGAAAAAAAAAAAAAAAAAAAAAAAAAGTAGATTCTTGAAGGGGGAAAAACAATAAAAACAGGAAACGTTAGGAGTGGCTGCTCAGTAGTTGCGAAGCCTTTCCGAGGTCACTTCCCATTATTGCTAGACACCGGGCCATAATATCACGGAACTGACCAAAGCATGCAAAGTTATCTAGTCCATTTCCACTTGGACTAGAATCCTTGGTCGGGGCTTGAATCCGTAATGCCATGTTCTTGCCAGGCAGGTGTGTCCTCTGCTGAAATACCTCCAGTGACAGATCAGTTGCTTTGGCATTGTTTGCTGCTGCTTTTCATTATTGGGCACTGAGTGACGGAACATATTTATAAGCTCACAGTGTTTCCTTCAGGTTCGGCAGTGGACACCAGGACCGTCTTTGCATAACCTGCTTTCTGCCCCTCTTTTTTTTGGTATTACACAAAGCAGATTACAATGTGTTTATCAATTTAATCCCCAGAAATAAGAATTCTCTTGTTGCCCTGGCCGGTTTGGCTCAGCGGTTGGAGCCTTAGCCTGCGGACCAGAGAGTCCCGGGTTCGGTTCCCGCTAGGGGCATGTACACCCCCAAAACAAAAGAATTCTCTTATTAATAATTTAGCAAGCATATAGTTGTTGGTTTACCAGTTGTGTATGTCAGAGTCCTGTGAGGACTGTAGCAGCTCAAGTTATATTTGCTTTCTTACGGCTATAAACGCCTTTCGTGTTTTACAGCAGGCACAGAATAAGAACTGTTATGTAAGCATGGGAAGTATAAAACTCATTTTTAAAAGTCATACTCTTAGCTGACTTTGTAGATCTTTTATTGATGAAAATTAGGTTTCAAAGGGAACCTCACCTTGTTTTAGAAAATGCTGAGTCCTTTTATTTCTATCATGTTTTACAAAGCAGCTCCTTGCCTTGCATTTCTGACCCTCCCTGTTTCTCAACAGGTGGATTGGCATTCTGACTTTGTACCTCAGGCACAGAGGGAAGCTGGACTGTGCTGGCGGGGTCCTGCTCAGCAGTTACATGATCGTTCTCATTGTTCTCCTGGCAGTTATTATATGTACCTTGTCGGCCATCGTGTACGTCAGCATGAAAGGTAAAAAGATCAGCCTTGTCCTGGCTGTGTGGCTCAGTTGGTTGAGTCTCCTCCTGTACACAAAAAGGTGGCAGGTTCAATTCCTGGTCAGGGTACATACCTAGGTTTCGGGTACCCCCCACATTGGGTGCATATGGGAGGCAGCCAATCTCCATACGGGAGGGAGAGAGCGGGGGCGACCGGTTGCCACCCATACGACCCCATCTGGGGCCGGGGACAAACTGCAACCGAGGTACATGCCCTTAGCAGGAACCGAACCTGGGACTCTCTGGTCCACAGGCTGATGCTCTAACCGCTGAGCCAGATTGGCCAGGGCTAAAATTAATTTAAAAAATATCTTTAAAGCCTCACCCAAGGATATTTTTTCCTTTTATCTTCAGATAGAGTGGGGTGGGGCGGGGAGAGGGAAAGAAACATTGATGTGAAAGAGACACATGGACTGGCTGCCTCCTGCATGTCCCCCCCGGGGCCAGGGACTGGACCTAAACCGAGGTATGTGCCCTTGACCAGAGTCGAACCCGTGACTCTTTGGTCTCAGGGCTGACATGCTAACTACTGAGCAAAACTTGCCAGCGCTCTAAAATCAATTTTTAAAAAAAGATTGGCTTTATTTTTTTCAAACTATAAGAGAAAGTTTATTTAGAAAGTCACAAAGGTAGAAGTCAACTGTGGAAGAAACGGGCTCAGGAAACACGTTACAGAGGCAAAGGAAGGGCCCTTGGAGCTCAGGAGAGAATCGAGGACCGGGGAAGGACTTAGGGCAAGGCTCGGGCGTGCTCCACAGAGAGAGCTGCCCAGGGCCTTTTCTGTTTGACACCTAGTGTATCGTAACAGCTGTATCGAGATATAACTTGCACGCCATACAAATCACTCATTTAAAATGTACAATTTAGTGATTTTTAGTATATTCACAATTGTACAGCCATCGCCACAATCATTTTTTTAGAGCATTTCATCACCCAAAAAGAAACCCCATGCCTAGTAGCAGTCTCCCCTCCTGTCTCCCCAGCGCTAGGCACTCACTGATCCACATTCTTTCTCTGCACATTTGCCTGTTCCAGACTCACATAGGTAAAACCATCCAGGTGTGGCCTTTTGGTCTGGCTTTGTAACTTAGCATTGTGTTTGTGAGGTTCATTCTTGTAGCATGTCAGCACTTCATTTCTTTCTTATTAAATCTTTTTTTCTTTATTGATTTTAGAGGGAGGGAGAGAGAGAGAAACATCCATGAGAGAGAACATCGATTGGCCACCTCTTGCACGCCCCTCACTGGGGATCGGGCCCACAGCCTGGGCTTGCGCCCTGGGAATCGACAACCTCTTGGTGTATGGGTCGACGTTCAGCTGCTGAGCCACACTGGCCAGGCTTTGTTATTTTTGTTGTTGTTCTTTTTTTTTTCTTTCTAGTCCGTCCTTCTTTTCTATGGCTGAGTAACGTTACATTGAATAGATGCACCTCATTTTACTCACCCGTCCCTCAGCTGGCGCACATCTGGCTGTCCCACTTCTGACACCACAAAGGGTGCTGCCGCTGTGAACGTTCACAGACGTGCCCTGTGCAGACGCGCGTTCTCAGTTCTCTTGGGTGTGTGCCTAGCGGCGGAGGTGCCGGGTAGCTCTGTCTAGCCTTCTGAGGAACTGCCGGGCTGTTTTCCAAGCAGCTGCACCATTTTTCTTTCCCTCCAGCAGTGTCTGAGGGTTCCAGTTTCTCCACATCTTCAACCACTCTTATTATGTGACATCTTTTTTTTATATATATGGTTTTACTGATTGTTAGAGAGAGGAAGGGATAGAGAGAAACATTGATCGGTTGCCCCCTCACGCTCCAACCACCTGAGCCACACTGGCCAGGGCTGTGACTCCTTGATCATAGCATCCTAGTGGTGTGAGGGGTTATCTCGTGGTTTTGATTTGCATTTCCTTGATGACTAATAATGTCCAATATCCTTTTATATGCTGATTGGCCATTTGTGTGTTTTTTTGTTTTGTTTTGTTTTCTTTAATCCTCACCCGAGGACATTTTTCCATTTTTTGTTCAGGTAGAGTGGGAGGGAGAGAGAGAACCAGAGAGAGAGACACACAAACATCGATGTGAAAGGAACACATCGAGTGGCTGCCACCCGCCGGGGACAAACTGCAACCGAGGTACGTGCCCTTAGCGGGAACCGAACCCGGGTCTCTCAGGACCGCAGGCCGATGCTTTAACCGCTGAGCCAAACCGGCCAGGGCCATTTGTGTGTTTTTTGTTGTTGTTGTTGTTCATCTTCACCTGAGGATATTTTTTTTTTTTCATTGATTTTTAGAGAGAGTGGAAGGGATGGGGGGAGGAGGGGAAGAGAGAGAGAAACATTGATATGAGAGACACGTTGTCTGGCTACTTCCTGCATGCGCCCTGACCAGGGCCGGGAATTGAATCTGCAACCCAAGTATGTGTCCTTGACCAGGCATTGAACCTGAGACCCTTCGGTGTGCAGGCCGACGCTCTAACCACTGAGAACCCCGGCCAGGGCTGTGTATCATTTTTGGAGAAATGTCTATTTAGATGCTTTGCTTAATTTTATTTGTCTTTTCATTAATGAGTTGCAAGAGTTACATCTATTATTAATGATAATTTTTTCCCCTATATGTCCCCATTTTCTGCAGACAGTCACTTAGCTGAGAATGTTGGAAACCTTCCCTGTTGATTGCCTGGTTCACAGGGTGAGCTGAGCCCTCTGGTGACTAATAGCGGATCAGTAAATAAACTCCTCAGCCCAAGGCAGGACAGCCGCTGCGCAGGGTTTCAGGGCTGTGTCACTGCTCGAATCGATACAGGAGGTGTGCTTACAGATTGTAGCTGACCATGGGACTGGGAGGCGTAGCTCATGACAGAGGCAAGATCTTGGCATTTGGAATGACAGACTGGAACTTTAAAAATGGTAGTTCATGAGGAGCGACACAGAAAAGCGTCAGTGGTGTTCCATGGAAAGAGACCTTAGGGCTGGGTGCCCACTGACTATAGCAGCTGCAGACATAAGAGCTCCGAAAACGGAAGCATGGGGTCTGGTCAGAGGAGGGCCTGGTTCTGTGGTTGTGTCGGTCCCCAAGTGTGGGTTGTCACTGGTGCTGAGGCTGGGGAAGAGGAACTGAATGTGTGCAATGTGGTGTGAGTGGCATTATGAAGATATTAGTAAGTCAGAATTTCTGAAAGATGAAGTACTGAGATTGTTCTCATTTCAGATACAGCATTACTTAACCTCTTTGCCCTTTCTGTTCAGGTCACATTCTGGTTCATACACCATGTTTACAACTGTAATAGGGTTCACATTTGAAGCAATAAGTGTAAGATTTTTCCCCTGAATTGTTTTCCTCCAGATGTCTTTGGGAGTGTCAGTATTTTACAAAATACGTCCAGAGGGCCGTTCACACCCCTGTGATGGGTGGTGTACTCATCAAGGCCCCTCCTCCTAGGCATCATCACATTAGGGATTGGCTGCCTACCCAGCAGCCTCCTCCAAACAGAACCCAGTTTAATTCAAGACATCCCCCACCCTGCACATACCAAGTGCATGTGTCAGAGAAGCTGGCCCTCTGCCTGGCTCAGGAACGATGCTCATGTGTCAGTGATTGGTTCAGGAATGGGTGTGTGTCCCTGCTGGGGCCAGTGACATTCAGGGAGCTTACTGGGAAGTTCTGGAGAAGTCCTTCCTTGCTCCCCTAGGAACATCATCCCCTTCTGGGTGGTGCTGTGCTTGGACGAGCTACTGAATTCCCACTGCGTTCGGGCTAGGATGAGCCAACACCCTGAGGAGGACAGAACGATGGCAGTCACTGGGAGCCGCTCTGCCTGGCCCGCTCACAGCAGGGCAGCTCTTCCTGGTCTGTAGCCAGTTTGAGTTGGACTTTCTGTTACTTGTGGCAAGAGAGATCACAGCTGAACTGAAAATTGTTTTACAAAAACATGTTAGTTCAGTTGCCAATTTGTTACAAATGATGAACATCTTTAGTTTTACTTTAGTAAAACTATGTAAATTTAAGTGAGACATAACAAAGTTTAAAAAAAGAAAATGGAAAAAAATATTGTAAAATGTGAGACTTAGAGCCAGTCTCCTTAATTATAAGGGCTTTTGTGATAAGAAAACACCTGTAGTCGGTAGAAACATGGGCAGAGATCTTGAACAGTTAAATAAACATAAATAACTTACACTGACTGTCCAGCCTCAGTCGCAGTAGGAAAACCCACCTAGATAACCTGAGTTGGTGAGGCTGTGCAGAAACAAGCAGCGCATTCTGTTGGAGTGTAATCTGGTTGACTCTCTTGGAACCCAGTTTGGCTGTATGTATGTGAATCCATTTTTTCCTGTTATTTGACAGTGTGCAAAGTATTTGTAGGGATGTTCACTGCAGTGTTGTTTATAGGTATGAAAGGTGGGAACAAACCCAGTGCCTGTCAGTGGGCCATTGGTTAAGTAAAGTGTAAGTCACTTTTATGATGATCTGCTGTGCACCTGCTAAAAAGTGAGGCATGCTTGAACAGGTAAGGAAAGATTGAACTAAGATACGGAACACTGTATTCACTTGCTGTTTTCTGACGGATATGCATACACATCCCATGTTTTGTTCACGTGAAGACTGGGAGGCTACGCAGGTTACTAGTTTACTTTTTCTTTGAATTCTCACCCGAGAATACTTTTCCATTTATCTTCAGATAGAGTGGGAGGGAGATAGACAGACAGAGAGAGAGAGAAACATTGATGTGAGAGAGACATAATCGATTGGTTGCTTCCCCCAAGACCCCAACCATGGCCAGGAACAAACTGCAACTGAGGTTCATGCCCTTGATCAGAATCAAACCCGCAACTTATTGGTCCTCAGGCCGACACTCCAACCACTCATCCAAACTGGCCAGGGCACTAGTTTACTTTTAGGAAGGTAACTGAAAGACAGGTCAGCGATGGAGGAAGGCTGAATGTTTACTTTATACCTACTTGAACGTCTTACTTTTACATGCTTCACCTGCACAAAATTAGTGAGTGTTTGACAACTTGTACATTTTAGGTATTTTTTTATTTTTTGTTCAGATAGAGCAGGAAGGAGAGAGAGGAAGAGAGAGAGAGAGAGACATCGAGTGGCTGCCACCCACGACCCAACCAGGGCCGGGGACAAAGTGCACCCGAGGTACATGCCCTTAGCAGGAACCGAACCAGGGTCTCTCTGGGCCGCAGGCCGAAGCTCTAACCACTGAGAAAAACTGGCCAGGGCCATTTTAGGTATATTTTTAAGTAACTGTTAGCACATTGGTAAATTTTATTCCCAATACATGGATGAATTCTATTGCCCCTTCTGTTCTATGTTATCTCAATCTGTTTTTGGAGCAGAAAGACCATGTTTCTTGAGCTTTTGTATGCTATCCCCCTCTGAAAGAAATACCACACATTGTTGAGCACGTGTGGAACAGATGGAATTCGGTCATTTTTACACAAAAGACTGAAGCTTGTGTGTTTATCTATCCTCTGTTCCTTGGTCATCCATGTAGCTCAGTTGGGAAGAATCGTGATAGCATTGTGGTAGCTTCTAGCTTTTATTTGGGAACCTACCTGATGAAATCCTACTGTGTGGGAGTTTTATTTTTAATGTTTTCAAATTCTAAGGGAAAGTTTATTTAGAAAGTTACCGAGGTAGTAGAAGTGAGCCAGCTGGGCTGCGTGGGCTCAGGAAACAAGTTACAGAAGCAAAAGAAGGGCCCTTGGAGTTTAGGAGAGAGAAAGGCAAAGGTAAAGTGCCCGAGGGAAGGACAGGGGGACGGGAAAGGCGTCCCTTTGGGAGGTTTAATTAGGGAAGGTCCACCCTCTTGACTGCCATGGTTTTTGACTTTTTAAAGATTTTTTTTTTTTTTTTTAAAGATGGAGTGGAAAGGAAGTGGGGGGAGAGAGAGAGAAACATCAATGTGAGAGAGACATTGATTAGTTGACTCCCTCCTGACCCCAACCTGGGCCGAGGATCAAACCGGAAACCCAGGTATGTGCCCTTGACCAGGAATCGAACCGAAGACCCTTTGTCCAACGGCCGATGCTCTAACCTCTAGCCAAACCGGCTTGACTGCCATAAATTTTATTTATTTATTTATTTTTTTTATCCTCACCCAAGGACATTTTTCCATTTTTTGTTCAGATAGAGTGGGAGGGAGAGAGCGGAAGAGAGAGAGAGAAACATCAATGTGAAAGGGACACATCGACTGGCTGCCACCCACACGACCCAACCAGGGCCGGGGACAAACTGCACCAGAGGTACGTGCCCTTAGCGGGAACCGAACCCGGGTTTCTCTGGACCACAGGCTGACGCTCTAACTGCTCTAACGCTCTAACCGGCCAGGGCTTGACTGCTACACTTTGATGGAACACCCTGGACACACGGGGTCTGCTGTTCACCGCGTCTGGTTTTGGTTTCGGACGCTGAGCAGCTCCTCCGCATCTGGGTCTGGAAAGCTCGTGGCTCACCTCCCGCCGGAGGAGACTGCCTGTGGCTCGCGGTGTGGAACCCGACTGTGGCAGGGGCCTTCCTTCTGTAGCGCCCACGTGATCGGCTGTGCCTGGCGAAGGACTTCTCAGACCGTTGTGCACCTGACATAGGGGCTCAGCTGTCGTGTTAACCATGAGGCCTTGCCTCACCACGGCCTGCAAGCAGCCAGGCCATACCAGCACTTTCTCTTGAGAAGAAAATAAATATCTAAATAGATGAAAATGTTTTCCTGGGCAGGCATAGCGATGTAAAGGGCTTTCTCAGTATCCTACTTCTTTTCTGGAACCTTGACCACCGGAACTCCATTTTCTGCTTCCTTATTTATGCATTTATTTTATTCGTGCAGCGTCAGCATGTTGGACTTGCAGACCCAGGGGCTGCTGCGAATTAGGGTACACCCTTGTTTGGGGCCCCAGCCCTCCAGGAAGCAGTGGGTGTGTGCAAGCACTAATTCCTGTTTCTCTCCAGTGATCGGCTGTTGCTGTACAATAACACGCTCCATATATAGAACTGATTTTTCAGGCCACACTTCCTCAGAGATTGCGCCAGTTCAGTTGCCTAATTTGTCTTTGTGCCCAAAATGAGGCCTAATAGTGTCTAATATTTTAAAATGCGACTCTGTGTAATTCATTCTAATGAAAAATAATTTGTGGTATTTATTTTTGTTAATCCTCACCTGAGGATATTTTTCCATTGCTTTTTAGATAGAGTGGAAGGGAGAGAGGGAGAGAGAGAGAAACATCAATGGGAGAGGGACTTAAATTGGTTGCCTCCTGCACGCATCCCAACTGGGCCAGGAATCAAACCTGCAACCCAGGTACATGCTTTTGACCAGGAATCGAACTTGCGACCCTGGGCGTGTGGGCTGACATTCTAACCACTGAGCACACGGGCCAGGGCTGGAGTTTAAAAGTAATTTTCTTACCAAATCATTCTTTAGAGCTTAGATTTATTGTATTTGTTTTAATCATATGGTATTTTTGTGTTACTTAATGTTTATCACATTTTTCCAAAGGGAGTTGATGTTTTATATCAAGAATTAAAGCATACAAGCCTCTATTGATACTTGGGTTTGTTTTACAAATATGGTAAAAATGTCATGTCTAAAATGTGAGGCTTCTTTTTATTTATTTATTTATTGTTAATCCTCACTTGAGGATATTTTTCCATTTCTTTTTAGAGAGGGAAAGAAAGAGAAACATCAATGTGAGAGACACACATCTATTGGTTGCCTCCCACATGACCCCAACTGAGGCTGGAGACTGAACCTGCAACCCAGGTACGCGTCCTTGACTGGGAATTGAACCTGCAACCCTTCAGTCCATGGGCCAATGCTCTAACCCCTGAGTCAAACTGGCCAGGGCTAAAATATGAGGCTTCTTATAGTGATCTTGAACATCAGAATTGTTCACTTCCCAAAAGTGAGGACCACGAAGGCACTGGGGAGGCAGAGAGCTGGGGTCACAGATGTGGGTTATATTTTAGAAAGTAGCTACTAAGCTCCCAGAGCCTCAAGTTTCTCATTTGTGAACTGAGGTGTGAGCATTAAAGAACAGTGGGTATAAAGTGTTTGGATGGTGCCTGGAATAAGAGGGTTCAGATAGATGATGGAGCTTATTTTCCTGGCTCTTAGGACCTGGGTAACTTTGTTTGCCTGGAACAGTTCTGTTTTATACTTGTCATCCCAGCATGACTAGCAATAGCATCTTCTTTTGCTCTCAAAAGTATCCCAATTTGGCCTGTCTGGTGTGGCTCAGTGGTTGAGCATCAACCCGTGAACCAAGAGGTCGCTGGTTCAATTCCCGGTCAGGGCACATGCCCAGGTTGCGGGCTCGATCTCCAGTGGGGGGCGTGTAGGGGGCAGCCAAACAATGTTCTCTGTCACCAATGTCTCTGTCTCTCTCTCCCTTTCCCTTCCTCTCCCTCTCTCTCTAAAATCAATAAAGAAAAAAAAAATCATCCCAATTTGGACAATGATTATATGATCACCCTAGTTAGAACCCCAAAGTGTTTTTAAACCCTGGTAAGTCTAAGCGAGTCCGAGTCTCTCTGTGACGTCTCCCATCCCTTACTTTGTCACTTGCTCTCATCTTCAGCATCGGTGACCAGTTACAGGGAGAAAGAGTCGTGGTGGGTGTGCATGCAGCACCATGGGTGCTGTGACAGCTGTGTGTTTGTAGAAAGGAACCGGTCTCTGAGGAAGCAGGAGGCCAGGGTGACTGTTTCTGTGTTTTAGGAACCATTTGTAACCCCGGACCGCGGAAATCCATGGCCAAGCTGCTGTACATCCGCCTCGCGCTCTTTCTGCCCGAGATGGTCTGGGCGTGTCTGGGGGCCGCCTGGATAGCAGACAGCTTTCAGTGTGACAAGATAGTTGTGAGTGGCATCATTGCAACTGTCGTCATCAGGTGAGCTCTTCCTGTCATCTCTGTTGATTGTCACAAGTACCTTTGAGATGTAGGTAAACAAAGCTTCCTGAGCAACTCATAGGCAGCCCAGGGTCATGCAGGCTTCCTAGAGTTGGGAGTGGACCTCTCTGAGGAAACGGTAGACATTTAGAGGCGCCTGTTTGTACGTGAGAAACAGTTCATTTCCGTTGTGCGTGTCTTGATGGAGTTCTCTTTCTTACTGGTTCCCAGTTTTCCGTATTCCCTCCCTCTTTCTACAAGAAAGGAGACCTGAAGGCCAAAACAAGGGCAGACTCTAAAGGCAGGACGAGAAGAAATGCGCTAGGCAGAGTAATACACTAGAATAAGAGGTCTGCGAAGTGATCTGGGTTCATCCCGTTGTAAGTGAGGAAATGGGCCTTTCGGGGGTCTCAGCGCGGGGGGCAGCAGAGTCCAGCTCTGAGGCCCGCCTTCCTGCAGCGCCGTCCAGCCCTCGGAGCGCCTGAGTGTCCATCCGATGGGAGACCTGTGTGCGCTCACTGCCAAACTCTGCAAAACTCGGCTTACCCAGAGCAACCCTGAGGCCCCAGGAGGAAGGGCGGGTCATGCTTCGGGCTGGGGGAGGGGCAAGGTGCTACACCTCTGCCCACAGAGCTCCTTGTTTCTTTACCGTTAGGGCTCTGATCTTTGTGAGGCCTTATGAGGAACTTTCTAGAAGAAACATGTTGCTCGCCTCAGCCAGGTTCTGGGAGAGCTGTGTCTTTCTGGGTAACGAGCCACAGGAGGGAGCTTGGGCTCCGCCCTCTGCTGTGGGACCCTGTCATTGCTTGTCCCTCTGTTTGGCAGCTGGATTATCCTCGGCTCCACGGTGGTCACCATTATCATCGTCTTTGACCCGCTGGGGGGGAAAGCAGCTCGGTACTCCTCTGCTGGCCCCAGCCTCCTGGATAATCCGGAGTCGAGCCAGTTCTTCAGTGGCCTCAGGACAGCAGCTACCAGCGTGTGGGAGACCAGGATCAAGCTCCTGTGCTGCTGCGTGGAGCAGGATGACCGCGCCCGGGTTGCGTTCTCCAGCACAGCGGAGCTCTTCTCCACCTACTTCTCAGTAAGCGCAGGCGACCGCAGGCGACCGCGGGCGGGCTCCCTCCCACGCAGCCTCCTCCCTGAAGACCAGCGGATCCGCCCACGGCTGGTGGTCTGGGGGAGCACGGAGTGCTCCGGGGGCTTAGCCAGTGCGACACCTGCTCTACACTGTCAAGCTTTCAAATCAGTTTTTGATGAACTGAATTGGTTTTTAAGGAACCTGTACATTTGGGAATAATTTGCCAGGTCTCTCCACACCCCCAGCCAGCTGGCCCTCAGCAGGCACCAGGCCCAAACATGGTTTCTCACTGTTTCGCAGCGGGACACGGTGGCTCTGCTCCGAGAGGCAGCGCCGAGCCAGTGGTTCCTCTGTGACCTGCGCTGTTCGTCCTTCTTTCCCATTTAACGTGTCTTCCATACCGTGGTCCCTGCTCACCTGCCGTTAGGTTCCATGTGGGGACCAAGTCGGCCAGAGAGGCTCCTCCTGCCGCCCTGCACACCTGTGGTCTTTTTCTCGGCGCTCTGTGTGGTCTGCCTGCCCTGTGGGGATTAGAGAGTGTGTCCCCCTGAATCGGTTTAAAGGAGTCTTTCAGCCTAGTCTGGAGACCGCTGGGAGGAGGAAGAGAATCTGGCTCTTAGAGGATGTCGTAATCTGCATCAGCAGAAGTGAGTGCCGCGTGGGCAGCACCTGGTTCTGTTTTGGGAGCCAGAAGTCCTGGAGGTGGGGGTCCCTGCCCGCCCTATAGCCCTCCTGGAATGGAGGGGAGGGAAGGTCAGGCTCGGGAGACCACTCGGCTGCTTTCCGAGTTCAAGGTCCGTTTTGAGGCTTGCTGCCCCCGGTGAGTGTGAGCTCGGTCCGCAGATCTCTCCACGGGCGTGTCGCCAAAGCTTCGCGCGCCTGAGCATTGAGAGTAGACACTTGGGCTGAAATTGGCCACTATTACCAAAGTAGCCAATTTAGTCACTTAATCCCCCACTGCATAAAAGATGGGGATTAGAGTAAAAATAGCCGAGTCACTTGAAAGGAAATTTGAAAATGGAGAACCACAAAATGTTGATGTGCTCCAGTGGGTTTGTCTGAGGGCGGGATGATAAAATACACTGAGCGCACATATAGGAGGAGTCCCAAAGGGAAAGTACTTTTAACACACCTTTTTACACATAACTGTGTGTGTGTGCTCGTGTATGCGTGTACATGTTTGTGTGTGTGTGTGTACATGTGAACTGCATAAAACTGATTGTAAGGACCTCAGGGGCAGTTCTTGCTGAGGGTGTGACAAGCCATTGTGGTTTCCATCCAGGACACAGACCTGGTGCCCAGTGACCTTGCGGCAGGCCTCACCCTTCTCCACCAGCAGCAGGACAGTATCAAGAACCAGGAGCCTGAGGAAGTGGTCAGCCATTCCCCCGGGTCCTCCCAGGTAAACCCAAGTTTCTGTCGGGTTGTACAGTTTTTGATATTTACACCCATTTGTAAATCTTTATAAAAGAAAACAAACAGAAAACCTAGCCATCAGCAATTTCAGGAGTTGGCTTGGAATCAGATCTGTGGTTTGTACTGGTTGTGATTTGTCACCTGTCAGGTGCAGCAGCTCCTTGTCACCTGGAACCAGGTAGAGGGAGCCCATTCCTGGCCACTTCGCCATCCACTATGTTTTAGAGCATTCTCTCTTTAGGAAATTGTCGTGAGTCTACATTTTTTTTTTTAATTAAAAAAATTTCTTCTTTATTGACTTAGAGAGGAAGGGAAAAGGAGAGAGAGAGAGAGAAACATTGATGAGAGAGAACATTGATTGGCCGCCTCCTGCATGCCCCCAGTGGGGATCAGGCCCACAACCTGGGCATGTGCCCTGACTAGGAATTGAACTAGTGACCTCCTGGTGCATGGGTTGACGCTCAACCATGAGCCACACCGGCTGGGCGTGAGTCTACATTTCCTTGACTTTTTTTTTAGAGAGAGAGAGGGAGAGAGAGAAACATCGGCTGCCTCCTGCATGACCCCCACCTGGAATCAAGCCCACTGCCTAGGCATGTGCCCTGACCGGGAATCGAACTGGGACCTCAAATGATGGGACGATGCTCAATTCACTGAGCCACACGGGCTAGGCATGAGTCTACATTTCAAACATTCCTCCTGGGGTGGTGCCTGACTACCTGGGTAATGTGTTTGCTGTCTTCTCTGGGCCTGGGGAGCAGGAACAGCTGTTTTGCTTGAGGAGAGTTTTCCTGCCACAGATGTCTATGCTTTTGAAAGGAAACTCCACGCAGATGCATGTGTTTCTTTGCGCCTTCTTCAGGCACCTAGTTCTCTGCTGGTTTGTTGCAGTGGCATGAAAATCTGCTGGTCCTGACCTGCATCGGGCAGGAAGTCAGCGGGCTGTTGCAGCCGGAGCCAAGACAGTCCTTAGGGATTCTGCTGTTGACTCCACTGCACTTGCTGCAGCCCTGTAAAATGAGGGGTGCTGCTCCCTCTCTGTAAGGACCAGTTTTCCCTTCGGAAGTCCTCTGAGAGGCCCACTCAGTGAATGCAGGAAGCGGGGAGAGAGGAATCTGAGCTCGGGTTTAAGTCTCAGTGCGTTGGTCCTCTCCAGAGTGGGTTCCTCTAAACAAAAGGCTGTTTTTCTTCTGCAGGAGGACGATTTGGATGCGGAATTAGAAAACTGCCGTCATTACATGCATTTTGCAGCAGCGGCCTATGGGTGGCCCCTCTACATTTACAGAAACCCGTTCACAGGGCTGTGCAGAATCGGAGGTGACTGGTAGGTTGGCAGGGGCTTGGTGTCCCCCTTCCATCTAGATGTCACTCACTGGGGCACCCATATGTTATTTTCTAAAAATAACCCTAATCCGATTTCCCTTTTAAAAACACTTTGTTTTGAAATATTTCAAAAACTGCACGAGCAGCACTGAGAATCCCATACATCCTTTACGTGGAGTCACCAGGCGGGACTCATTTTGTCGCGTGTACTGTGCACTCTCTGAACAATGGAGACAAGCTGCAGACATCATGTCCTTGCATCTCTGATTACTTCAGCCTCTGTTTTGTCTTTTAATATGTATTTGTTTTTTAGAGAGAGAGGAAGGGAGAGAGAGAAACATGGATGTGAGACAGAAACATCCATGGGCTGCCTCCTGCACGCCCCCCAGGGGGGATTGAGCCCGCAACCCAGGCATGTGCCCTGACCAGGAATCGAACTGGGACCTCTCAGTCCATGGGATGACGTTCAGTCCACTGAGCCACACCAGCCAGGCCAGCCTGTGTTTCTTAAGAACAAGGACATTCTTTTATATAACTACAGTACAGTGATAAAATTCAGGAAATTTCCAGCAGGTGTGGCTCAGTGTTTGAGGATTGACCCGTGCACCAAGAGGTCGCCAGTTTCATTCCCGGTCAGGGCACATGTCCAGGTTGTGGGCCCGATCCCCAATAGGGGGCGTGCAGGAGGCGGTCAATCGATGTTTTCTCTCATCGATGTTTCTATCTTTCTCCCTCTCCCTTTCTCTCTAAAATCCTTAAAGAAAAAAAAATTAAAAATTCAGGAAATTGAATCATCATTAGCGAATTGACAACTTGTACTGAGATTTTTCCAGCTATCCCGATGGTATTTCCATCACAGTTCCCTCCCATCGGGATTGTGCTGCATTTGGTTATGTCTCCTCAGTCTCCTTCAAGTTGGAACAGTTTCCCAGTCATTTCTTATTTTTCATGATACTGCAGGAATTTGGTAGACTGGCCCTCAATTTGCATTTGTCTGAAGGTTTAGTGATTAGATTCAGGCTGTATGTTTTCGGCAGGACTGCTCCGTGAGGGACATTGTGTCCTTGTGGGCATATCACAGTGGGAGACACCTGGTGCCAGTTTGTCCCATTACTGGTAACTTTGGGGTCTCTCCGTCCTGCTGATTTAGTTCATTTTTTGACAGTGTAAAGCAGTCACACGATTCCAGAAGTTAAACTATAGAAAGAAGCATGTACAGAAGTATATTGTCTTTTAAGGGCCATTATACGTTAGCCAGACTTGGTCCTGAAAATTGTAAGCTCTGGTCCTTGCGTTTGCTGGGAAAACAAGACAGGTTTGACATCCCTTGGTGAGTGGCTCAGGTTGTCCATTTTTAGTTGCAGAAGCAGGACAACAGAATATGACTTGGTTGGAGGTGATCAGCTCAACTGTCACTTTGGCTCCATCCTGCAGACGACAGGGCTCCAGTACAGGGATTTCATTCACATAAGCTTTCACGACAAGGTAGAGTGTGACAGCGCTTCCTGACTTCTCTGGGGTCCTGGAGTCCTTTGAATTCTGATGGAAGTTATTCCCCCAGAAAACTGTGCGTGGACACATCCCACACACTCTGCCCCAGGTTTTGCATATCATTTCGGGGGCTTTACAACCCCCCGAAGCCCACACTGGTCTAGCATGAGACGAGCAGAGCGCCTCACCGGAGGTGCTATGTGTGTCTCCCCGGGTCTGTCTGTCATCGAGGAACAGTGAGTCCTGTTTGGCTCAATCCCACAGCAGTGTCTGGAGCTAGTTACTCCTGGTTTCTGGGTCTGAGCCCCATTCACAGTGTTGTTGTGCAGTCCAGAGGGGGCCCGGGAGCACTGGGCAAGTTGGTGACCCTACAGAAGCCCAGCTTCTATGACCTGCCCTTGGTGTGGCTCAAAGCCCTCCCGGTGGCTGTCAGGGTCTCACACGTGCTGCCTCATCGGATCTTTGGGGAGCTTCCCACTCCCTGAAAATCCAGGCCACACCAGGCCAATGAACTCAATCTCTGGTGATGGTCCCCCAGCCAGGAGCCCCCGTGTTGTCATGATTGTCTCTCCTGCTTGCTCCAGATATGTAACCATGCACCATAAACCAGTGGCTGTCCTCACAGTATTGCTGTCATTGGTCAGTGGCCATCCACAAGCCAGGTGCTGGGTATCTGCCCTCCAGCCCAAGGGGCTGGGGCCGTTACTGTCCTGTGGAAGAGGAGAAAGCAGACCGAGAGGACCGGGGACGCTGTGTCCTTGCAGAACTGGCTCGGGAGGCAGGGGCCCAGAGTTCCAGCTGTACCTGTGCGTGTGCTGGGTGAACGTGATGCTTCCCTGCCAAACCGCCTACCTGCTCACACTTCGCGGAGCAGGGGCTCGTTCTGCCTGTGAAGGCGGCCCCGCCCCACCCAGGATAACCTGAAGTCGTTGTCGGACAGCAGCTCTCAGTCCTGGCCCAGAGGGACGGCTTCTAGTTGGTCAGCGCAGAACTGGACTTACCCACTGACCCTGCTGATGCTGGGCTGCAGCGACGGAGGCCCAGTTAGACTAGCCCCACGCCGTGTAGCACACGGCGGGTCAGGGACAGGAAAGGAAAACAAGGACATTTCCACGTGGACGAAGGCATGGTTCATGAAAGCCTTTCATGTAGAGAGAATGAGCGCTGACGGACTGGCGTGTGGGTGGGACAGGTCGGTCAGTGTCCCGGGAACGCCTGGCGTGCCTCCGGCCCCATGCCTGGCTCTCTCGTCCGCAGGTCTATGAGCTTCCCTTCATAGTGGCTCTGGACCACAAGAAAGAGTGTGTTGTGGTAGCCGTGAGAGGAACCATGTCTCTGCAGGTAAGGAGCCCGACCTTGAGCCTGGGACAGGGTGCGAATCAGAGGCGCAGAGGCCTGGAGAGCCTCTGTCAGAACTAGGGAAGCAGTCATGAGCCCCCCTCACACAGGAAAACCCCGGGCAGAAATGAGGAAGCCAGACCAGACTTGTGAAATACCTACTCTGAAAACAGATGAAGTTATTTCCTTTTTTTGTTGTTTGTTTGGTTTTTTATCCTCACCAGAGGACATTTTTCCATTTTTTGTTCAGGTAGAGTGGGAGGGAGAGAAAGGAACAGAGAGAGAGAGAGAGAGAAACATCGATGTGAAAGGGACACATCGAGCGGCTGCCACCCGCACAACCGACCAGGGCCGGGGACAAACTGCAACCGAGGTACGTGCCCCTAGCGGGAACCGAACCCGGGTCTCTCCGGACCGCAGGCCGATGCTCTAACCGCTGAGCCAAACCGGCCAGGGCTGAAGTTATTTCCTTTTAATTGAGAAGTCTCAGAAGCAGAGAGGCCAGCGGGGCAGGCGTCCCTCCTCAGGGGCATCCACTTGACTCCCGTGTGCCTGGCCCCCAGTCTGGGTGACCCTTCCCTTGAATTTTTCACTCCCAGTGCCAGAAGGGCTCAATTAAGTAGTGCTGCCGAAAGCCGCACCATGCTGCTGGCACCCCTCAGGGTCGAGTTCCTGTTCCGGATCTCAGCCTGCTCCAGATGGTGCGAGACCCACCATCCCTCCGACCCCAACCCAGCAGTCCCGCTCAGGCCTGACCTCTGCCCTGTGGAGATGCTGGGTGTCTTGCTTCTCCCCACTTCTCATGTTCTTCGGTCACCTCTTGCCCGTTCCTGCCTCATCACCTGGTTCTTAGTCCTCTGCTGACCAGAAAATGTAATGAGACCCTCGAGTTCGAGCCTCCATGCTCCTCTGTGGACATGGCTTGCAGCTCAGCAGGTGGCCGGGACCGTGCCTGCTTCTTCAGGAACCAAGGTCTGCCCAGAGACCAGGGTAGCCGGAGCCCTTTCCCTCCCCCTCCCCGGCCTGGTCGTCTGTCTGGCCCATTTCTGGTAACCATGTGGTGTCCTCCCGTTTGCCCACTGAAGACACAGGGAAGGGCCTTCTGTTCCCCTCCTCACGTACTGCCCGGCTGCAGTGTGGAGCGTGCCCGGGCCTTCTCTCTGGCCATCTCCTCGATTCCCAGTGCCACAGCCCTTGTCCAGCCCAGGCCTGTCCCCTGGGCTAGAGAAAGGAACACCGCCGATTCCTGCTCCCATTTCTCAGCACAGCTGTCGGCGCTTCACCCCGACCCGCCTGCCTTTCCTGCCCCGGCACTGGGGGCTCTGGGGCCAGCAGTTCCCAACCTGGCAGCCTTGTGACTAGTGTGGACATGGGGCCCTTCCCCCAGGAGTCAGGCTCACTGGGCCCTAGGGACACACCCACCTCCCACTGGCCACCTCTCTGCCATATCCCCTTGCCACCGCCCGCTTCCCTGCCGAGCTGGCTCATGCCGCCGCCTCCAGGGAGCCGCCCTACCCTGCAGCACTACCTGTTCTGCTCCCTACTTTCCAGTGAGCTGCTGACAGCACACAGACGTCTGTGGTGCTTAGATGTGTGCAGTGAGGCAGAACAGAGGGTGTGTCGTGGACAGGTGCCCAGAGCTGGTCATGCCACAGGTCTCTCAGGAGCTGCCTGGCCACCTGGGTTTCTGTCCTAAGTTAAGGTTTGGGTCTCAAGTCTGACCAAGGAGACGGCCACCCCTGCTGTCCCTGAGACCCGCCCACCAGCCTGCCGCCCAGCTAACAGCCTCTTCTCCCACCTTTACAGGACATCCTCACGGACCTGTCAGCAGAAAGTGAGACCCTGGACATAGGGTGTGAGCTGCAAGACTGTTCGGCACATAAGGTAGAAGCCCTGGGGTCTGTGGTCTGGAATGTTCTGTTCAGGTGAAGGGTCAGAATTTACCAACTCTTGAGTCTCCCGTTAATTCAAACCTCCTAACAGTTGCTCCACGTCAGAGGCTGCACACTGCGTGCTCCTGTGCCCCGTGCAGGGTCTCGGGGCGGCCTGTCAGCTGCTGGCGGGCAGCATCTGTAAGAAAAAGCAGGTTCAGAGTGGTCGAGTGACTTGCCAGAAGCCTGTTCTCGGAACACGGAACACGGCAGAGTTGGCATCCGAACCCCTGCGGGCGTCCTCTTCCCAGTCAGGGAAGGAACCTATTCTCGCGGTGGGGAACTGCCCGCGGTTCAGTGCGCTGAGTGCCGGCGGCGGCTCCTCCTAAATGGTTTTAAATGTACTTACAGTGCTTTTCTTTTTAATGGCTTAGAAGTGTCCAGTTCAGTGCGTTCGAGTCGGAACACTGTATCCCTGTCTCTGCCGGGAAATCCTCGTCCCAACACAGCTCTGGCCCCTCACTAACTCCTCCCCACCGGGTACCACCGGTATCTAGGAAATTGGTTCTTTAGGGATCTCGTGTAAGAGGAATCACAGGATCTATCCTTTTATGACTGACTGGTTTATTTCACTGAGCAGTTTCCAAGGTCCATGTAACTTGTGTCAGAATGTCCTTCCTTTTCAAGGCTGAATAATATTCTGCGGTATATACATACCCCCCTCTGGTCTACCCATTCATTCAGAGGTGGACACTGGGGCAGTGCCCACATTCTGGCTGTATGAATAATGTCACTGCATGTGGGTGTGCAGGTTATCTGCTCACGTGGGACTGCTGGGTATTTCGTCACCTTCTGAGGAATTTGCAGTCCAGCAGCGGAACCACCTTCCATTTCCCCAGCAGCCTCTCCCCAGCCACACCCTGCTCCTTCTGCAAGGCCGTCCTCTGTGGGTGCGAGGGCCTCACTGTGGTTTCCTGAGGACAGATGAGGTCGCAGAGCAGAGGGTTTAACATTTGAGGGGAGTCTGAAATGATGTCAGTCAGGATGTTGGGCGCAGGGCAGTGGGCGTGTGATGTTTTATACACTTCATGTGCTTTTTAACTAAAACATGTATTACTTATGTAGTAATCATTTAAAAATTTTTTTTTAATCCTCACTCGAGGATTCTTTTCCCCCCACTTACCTTTCGGTAGAATGGGAAGGGGGGAGAGGGGAGGGAGGAGGAGAGAGAGAGAAAGGAAAGGATAACAGGGACCTTGCATGACCCCAACCAGGGCCAGGGTCTGAACTGCAACCGAGGTACGTGCCCTTGATCGGAATTGAACCTGAGACTCTGGTCCATGGGCCAATGCTCTAACTGCTGAGCCAAACCAGCCAGGGCTAAAATGCTTAACTTTTATACCAATATGTTGCAGCAAGAGCGTAGCTGCCCTGCCTGGACAATTTCCAGTAAGGAGGCAGAGTGGAGGCTTTTGTCTGTCACCAGTTAGAAGCTTGACAGTCCTGAGAATATGAATTATTTTCCTTCAACCCTCAGCTATTTCTTTGTGCATCAACTCATGAGAGTCCCGTTTAACAATAATATCATTGGGTGTGTATAAAAAATGTTAAACCTTATGAGACACATCAACCAGCCAACATAAGTCTGCTGGGCTCGGTCGCAGTTCGGTTCCTACAGGGTTCGCCCACAGGTCAAGGCCCTGTGTGACCACAGCTGCAGCGCTCAGGGCTTGGCTGACCACCCGAGGCCCCTCCGGCTCCAGCTCCTCCAGAATAGCTCTTCCCCTCAGGCACAAGGGCACGACCTGTCCTCAGGCGTTGGCCCTGACACTGGCCACAGTGAGTGGAGCTGAAAGCTCCGCCGCTGGACAGTCTTGGCATCTTGTCTGTGTGAAGCATGTGCCAGGGAGACGCACCAGCAGCAGCCGTGGTGCAGGCCGTTGGCTCTGACTGCCCAGAACCAGGCACGTAACAGGTGCTAGTAAGTGCTGAAGGAAGCTGACTGCGCTCACACTGGTGGGAGAGGAAGTGGAACTGGGTGGTTTGTCGACAAGTGCTCAGATTGTGCCCAAAGCGGTAAACCCTTGCAGCCTTCTTTGGTTTCTCTCCTGAGGCTAGGCTCAGCATCCTCGCAGAACTAGACTCAGAACGGTGCCGTCGCTGCAGAGACGGTCAGCCAGGCTCCCTCTCATCTCGCGAGCACAGCCAGGCTGGTCTTGTCATGTGGACATAGACCGGAATGTATGAGAGCTTTGTCTCTGCCCTATTGGAACTGGTTGGCTGTCAAGAAGCTGGCAGAGAGCTATATTTATTAGGAGGTTTAAATCAAAACTAACCTCCCTAAAACTCACTTCTGAAGGTCTAAGTTTTGCCTTTGCAGGTACAGTGGATGCTTAATTAATGTCATTGATTCAGAACTTTGTTTTAATGTCATTTGGAAACCTTAGTCATTTGTGATCTAGATCTGACCAACCATAGGGACTTAGCCAGACCAATGCCTGTCACAGGTAAGTGCACAGTGTAATGCTGTCATCTGTTGTGGCAGAACCTGCCTGTCTGACAATCACTAGTCACCTTCTTTGTCACGTTTTTAGGGGATTTCTCAAGCTGCCAGATACTTGTACCGAAGACTCATCAGCGATGGGATTCTGAGCCAAGCCTTCAGCATTGCTCCTGTGAGATTGTAATTTTTCTTTTTTCTTTCATTACCTGTTTCTTTCTTTCTTTCTTTTAACCTTTCCTCGCTCTACTTTTATCCTTCAGGAATACCGGCTGGTCATTGTGGGCCACAGCCTGGGAGCGGGCGCCGCAGCCCTGCTGGCCATCATGCTCAGGAACACATACCCGCTTGTGAGATGCTACGCCTTCTCCCCACCCAGGGGGCTGCTGAGGTGCCTACAGACAAGTCATATGGTTATGGCTGGTCTTTTGTTGGTCATTTAATTTTTCATCCTCAAAAGTTTGTTTTCAAGTAGTCTAGTTGAAGAAAGACTACATAGCCTTTTAGTGGTCTGTCTGACCATGACTTTGATTTCCCAAATGATGTAATGCTAAATCACATACAATATTTTCATTTCAGGTGTATGACACATTGATCCAACATTCATATATATTGCAAAATGATCACCACGATCAGTCTAGTCAGCATCTGTTACCACACATTTTTTTCTTGTGATGAGAACTTTGATTATTCTTAGCAACTTGTAAAAATGGAACACAGCATTGCCTGCAGTCTGCTTGTGCTCGATGCTGGATGTTTCCACCCTGAGTCCCTTTGTGCGTTTCGCCCCCCTCCCCCACCCTGCCCGGCAACCACCAATCTGCTCTCTGTATCTGTGAGCTTGATTTTTTAGATTCCACATATATGGGAGATCGTGTGGTATTTGTTTTTCTCTGCCTGGCTTATTTAATTTAACACAATGCCCTCAAAGTCCATCCATGTTGTTTAAAATGGCAAGATTTCATTATTTTTTATGGCTGAATAATACTCCCGTGTGTGTACGTGCCTATGCACACATTATCCGTTCATTGACCAATAGACACTCAGGCTGTTTCCTTTTCTCGGCTAGTGTAAACAGTGCTGCACCGAACATGTGCGTGCAATATTACCGAGTTAGGGTAGAGAAGAAACTAATTTTTCTTTTTTTGAAATTTCAGCAAATCCCTTTATGAATACTCTAAGAAGTTCACTGTGTCCCTTGTCCTGGGCAAGGATGTGATTCCCAGGTCAGTCTGTGGATGCTTTATCTGCAGTTGGGGCAGCTCAGTACTCGAGTTGAAAAGACTGAGTACTAAGCCTCCATCTGATCTTTTGATAAACAGGTTAAGTGTGACCAACATGGAAGATTTGAAGAAGAGAATCTTGCGAGTGATTGCTCACTGTAATAAGCCCAAGGTAACTTGTGCCCTGTAAGAGGATCTGCAGGAGTCTGGGCCTCCTCACCAGCGTGTGTGGCCTTGGGAGAATGTTTCTAAATTCAAAGCCTCTTAGCGCAGGGCAGGTGATGCTGCTGCTGGACAGACTCTTGTCTGGTGTCCCACAGCTGATGTCTAAGAAAGCAAATGGAGAAATGAAGCACTTGAAACACCACAATTAGCAAATACTACAATAGAATCATCTCTGTTCCAGTTAAGTGATTTGCTGTTGTACTTCTTAGCCCTGTCTAGTGACCAACAGTATTCTGATGTCTTTGGTCACAAAGCTTAGAAAATAAGGCTGCCACAGAGTTTATGGCATAATTGTATGTCTGTCCTGTGAATATTATGCAGCCATCAAGAATGGTGACATGGCCCTGGCCGGTTTGGCTCAGCGGTTGGAGCGTCGGCCTGCGGTCTGGAGAGACCCGGGTTCGGTTCCCGCTAAGGGCACGTACCTCGGTTGCAGTTTGTCCCCGGCCCTGGTTGGTCGTGCGGGTGGCAGCCACTCGATGTGTCCCTTCACGTCGATGTTTCTCTCTCTCTTCCTCTCTCTCCCTCCCGCTCTATCTGAACAAAAAAATGGAAAAATGTCCTCGGGTGAGGATAAAAAAAAAAAAAAAAGAATGGTGACATGAATTTATATTTACCAACAGAGAAAGCTATCCATGATGTACTGAAAGTTAAAAAATTAGGCAGGCTTAAAAGTGATTCATAGAGGTATGATCTGAGGCCAGGGGGAGGTAACAAGGAGATATATATGAGCTTTGGCAAAAAATATATCAAAATGTGATTTTGTTTAGATCTCTAACCTCTTTGTTTTCTGACTTCTTTTGTTGTTGTTGCTAATCAGAAAAAAAATAGTTTAAAATAATTTTATCAGCTACCTTCCCCCCAAATTTAAAAATATTAGTATCTAATGTCTTTAAGTAAAACTGGTTTGCAGAGTTACATGAAAATAATTAAGGATAATTTCCCCCTCAAAATCTGCATGATTTTTTTTTTTTTTTTTTTTATTGATTTTAGAGGGAGAGAGAGAACCATCAATGAGAGAACATCAACTGGCCGCCTCCTGCATGCCCCCCACTGGGGATCAGGCCCACAGCCTGGGCTTGTGCCCCGACCAGGAATCAAACCGGTGACCTCTTGGTGCATGGGTCATCGCTCAACCACTGAGCCACACCGGCCAGGCACGGTTTCCTTTTTAAACCTTGTTTCTAGTTCGGTGGCTTCTTTGTCCTAGACCACTGAGTTTAGGCCCACTGACCTCCACACTTGTAAGATCCATAACTTAAAAACAATAAAACAGTCCAGCCAGTATGGCTCAGTGGTTGAGCATCAACCCAGGCACCAAGAGGTCGCCGGTTTGATTCCTGGTCAGGACACATGCCCAGGTTATGGGCCTGATCCCCAGTGGAGGGCATGCAGGAGGTGGCCAGTCAATGTTTTCTCTCATCTATGTTTCTATTTCTAGCTCTCTCTCCCTCTCACTTTCTCTCTCTAAAATCAGTAAAGGAAAAAAAAAAACCCAATGTAACAGCTGGGGCATTTGTCTGAGGTCCCTGCTGACAGTAAGCCTCTGAGTAACAAGAATGCTGCCTTCTTGGGTCTCGCCCTCAGTACAAGATTTTGCTGCGTGGGTGCTGGTATGGGCTGTTTGGAGGGAACCCAGATGACCTTCCGACAGAGCTGGACGGGGGCAACCACCAAGACCTGGCACAGCCTCTTCTCGGAGAGCAGAGTCTGCTGACACACAGGTCCCCAGAATATAGCTTCTCCAGTGACTCCCCACTGGAATCTCCCACCAAGTACCCCCCTCTCTACCCTCCCGGCAGGATCATCCACCTAGAGGAAGAAGGCCCTTCACGGAGGTGAGATGTGGCTGCAGGGCCCTGACTTGGCTCAGTCCACACACCACCCATAAAAGAAATGTGTGTAAGGACTTAAATTGGAAGTGAGCCCTGGCCGGTTTGGCTGCGGTCCAGAGACCCAGGTTCGGTTCCTGCTAAGGGCACGTACCTCAGTTGCAGTTTGTCCCTGGCCCTGGTTGGTCGTGCGGGTGGCAGCCACTCAGTGTGTCCCTTTCACATCGATGTTTCTCTCTCTTCCTCCCACTCTATCTGAACAAGAAAGTGGAAAAATGTCCTCAGGTGATGACTAAAAAAAAAAATTGGAAGTGATGCTTTGCTAATTGATTTTTGTCCTTTTCAGGTGTTCCTGTTACACTGCTCAATATACTGCAAAGTGGTCACATGAATCAAAATTCAGCAAAATACTCATTGGCCCAAAGATGCTAACAGACCACATGCCGGACATCCTAATGAAAGCCTTAGACAGGGTGGTGTCTGACAGGGCTGTCTGCGTTTCCTGTCCCGCTCCAGGGGGCTCTAATGTGGACATGGTGTAACCGGAGCTACTGGCAGCTTCCAGGACTGCAGACTCGGGCCATTGCTCTTCAAGTGACTTGACATCTGAGCGAATCCCACGATGCCCGCGCACTGCTAGGAACCTGACAGGCACTGAACTTGAGAGTCGTATAAATGACTCTAAGAAATCCTTCTGATCATAGCGTTGGCGTGCCAGGAGTCTGGAGAGCACCGGGAGGATGGGACTCCTGAGACCCAACGGGCGAGAAGCTTCACAGGAGCCCATCCCCCAGGCCTGGGGGAGGGTGGGACTCCAGCCGCCAGGGGTGGGTCTGTGCACTCCCACCCCTCAGGCCGCTTCTCACTGGCAGGGTCTTGGCTTGTCCCGTTCAGGAGTGTGAACTGGGCACACAAGAGTGCGTTTCCTCAGCAACCCGGATCTTCCCGGCTACACTCAGTCCTCAGCTGTGAGGGTGCAGACTGGGGCTGCCCCGGCGGCACTAAGGATCAGCCCTGAGCTGTGAGTGGGAATCAGCACAAAACCAGGTCAGGAACGTGAGTGGAGGCAGCTCCCGCCCCTGGGGCCACAGCCCTTCCTTGTTTACAGTCCACTGGTCTCAACACCACCGTTGATGGGAACAGTCCTTTTGGCTCTTGGAGTGGCCAGTAGGTTCAGAGGGCATTAACAATAAAGCACTTACACGTGTCACTAGTGTGTGTGCAGCGTTGTGCTCTCCTACTGGTCACGTCCACAGGTCTGTTTTCCTGAGTGGTTCTACAGTAGTCATCCTTGAAGTGTTTCTGTCACTGTAACAACAGAATGAAGTCTTCAGTCTTGTTGGCCCTCTGGCTACAGACTGAAGGTTACACGGGCATCTGATGTCACCCCACCCCACAAAGCTCATAAAATCAATAAAGAGATTTCTTTCAAAAGCCTAAGTCCACAGGACGGGGGAGACAGGACAATCAGACTAGAGGTAAATGAAATCCATGCTTCACCACCTGGACCCCATGCACTTGACATGGGGGGGGGGGGGCGGCGGGGAAGTGAGGGGTAGCCTGAAAGCTGGAGCAAACCACGCCCTTCGTTTGCTGTGGGCGGGGTAGGCGGACGGGACACCAGCAGTTTAAAATGAGGAAATGACATTCCTCACCACCTCCCACTTAGCCCCAAGAACCTTCAAGGAGAAAAATCACCAGGGAATCTGACCTCTAGGGATCTGTCTCCTCTCTTCTCAGCCATCAGTCAGACCACCTAGGCTTCTGAAACCTACAAAGAGCTATTTTAATATTTTAAAAATTGACTTCAGAGAGGAGAGGGGGAGAAACATCGAAGAGAGAAAACATTGATGGGCCACCTCCTGCATACCCCCCACTAGAGACGGGCCCATAACCGGGGCACGCGCCCCGAATGGGAACTGAACTGCGACCTCTTGGTGCACGGGACAGCGCTCACCACTGAGTCACACCGGCTGAGCCCAGAAAGCCATTTAAAAACCTGTTCTAGAAATGCCACTGTAATGTCCAACTGCTACAAGTTTCGTTTCAAAACTTAATTCCCATACATTCTGAGATCTTAGACACAGCACTGCCCTGCTAGGACTCGCCTCTGCACTCTCTTCTCTGCTTTTGACGTTCTCGGTCTTTCTGTACGAGCCAAGGATGGCCAGGGACTTGAGGAACAAGGGACCAAGAGAAACAGGTGTGAGAGAAGCTTCACACTACCCCAGCTACAGGCTTGGAACAGCAAGAGTGCTACAACCACAAAACTGATCCACAGGGCTAAACAATGTACCTAGAGAATAAAGAACACAAAAGTTAAAAGCATAGAAGATGACATTAATAGAAATGGACACCTGGCCCTGGCCAGTTTGGCTCAGCAGTTAAGCATCGGCCTGCGGACCAGAGTCCCTGGTTCAATTCTGGCCAAGGGCACATACCTCAGTTGCAGTTTGTCCTTGGCCCGTTAGGATTGTGTAGGTGGCAACCAGTCGATGTCTCTCTCACATCAATGTTTCTCTCTTCCTCCCTCTCTCCCTCCCGCTCTACCTTAAAAAAATAATAAATCCAAGCATCCTCTACAGTGGAAATGGCCAAGGAAGACGGTGGGAGAACAGACTCCAAAAACCTGAAGTTAGTTCCAACCCGGAATGGTAGGCCCAGCCAAAATTATCAGGGTGGAATGAAGTTATTTTCAGAGCTGAAGGGGCTCAAAAACATAGACTCCCCACACTCCCCAGGAAGCTCTTGGAGAACGCGTTTGTAGAAATGAAGTAAATTAAAAAACGAGGAGCCGGGTGTAGGCAATACAAATCAACATGCAAGAGAAAAGGTGCTCAGAGGGTGTGGGCCTCTGGGAGAATGGAACTGATGCAACACAGTAACACATCTGAACATCTTGAGATGAGACAACAGGGAAGTCCAGGGTTAAGAAAACAGCCTTAAATGAAGAATTATCTCAAGAGAAAGCAAAAGTTGTGCAGGGAAGGCAACGTTCTGCTCCCGTGCAGCTCAGCTGCGGTCTCCACACAGCAACCAGACAGACACTGAACGGTGAGAACCCACTGCAGTAACCACACTGAGGGAAGGGAGAGGTGCTGGGGCCGGACATGCAGCTCAGCAGCAGAGCCTTGGTCTCATGGTGGGGACGTCACTGGTAATGGCTGACCCTGAAAAATCCAACCACCAGTGAAAGCACAGGGTTTAGACTGAGCCCTGGAGAGGGGCTGGCACGGACTCAGGGTTAACCAGTCCTGCCCGTGTGATGAGGCCTCCGTGAAAACCCCAAGGATGGGTCCTGAGAGCTGCGGGCTTGCGAACACGTGCAGCCCCGGGAAGAGTGGCTCTGGGGGAGGGCACGGAGACCCGCACAACCCCACACCTTGCCCGTGCGTCTCCTCCATCTGGCTGAGTAGGGCCTTTACAGTAAGCTGGTGACCTAATAAACAGGACAGGAGATTTAGACATGTGGAGACAAGTATCAAAAATTAAAAGAACTCAAAGTAGTTGCCTCTGGGGAGGATGTAAAAGGGGAAGACTGCTCTATTTTTGTAGTAAACCTTTAGAACTATTTGATCTTTAAACAGCATATTTATCTTTGGTTAAAAAGAAACTCATAAATAAAAATCTTTCAAAGCAATAAAAAAGGATAGTCAGAAAATGGGTGCTAGCATGAACTAACTATTCATAGAACAATTTCAGGATCCAGAAAGGATCTCGAAGTCATAGTCATCTGCTGCCCTACCATGATGACAACTCAGGACCCAGCATCTCCTTTTCAGCCAGAGCACTGGCCCAAGATGCACATGCAGTGCGTGTGCGTACATGCAACACATGCACATACATACGCGTGCCCCAAAGTGGGCATCACATTGAGCATCTATCTCACCAACGTGCAACAGGTCCAAAACCAACCACCACCCCCACTGTCTGCTGACTCATTCATGTCTCCCCAGCATGAAAACAGGCATTGAAAACAAATGTCTCCAACAACCCAGAAATTTACAGTGAGGCAAATGAACATGTATACATCAGGACGTTGTTCACCAAGCTCTCAAGAACTCAAGTATTACCAGTCATATGATTCAAGGATTTATTAAGTCATACATGCAAAACATACTGCTAATTGCATTAGCAAAAGATCAATGTAAAAACACTCCACAATTCTGCAACTGTCAATTTAAAAAATGTTGTTCTAGTGGTTGAAAGGTCCAATCGTGTATTCTTGCCAGTGGGTAGTTGTACAGAACTTCGCCGGCAGAGCTCGGGGTTTCCAGAACCCCACCCGAAGGCGCAGTGTCGGGCAGGGCACAGGAAGCCTGTCCACTCGGGGAGGCAGAGGAGGGCCAGCGCTGGGCAAGCTACAGTGCTGGGATCTGGCAAGACAGTGATGGAAAGGAGGTTCATAGTTTAAGAATATCTAAAATATTTTTAAAACTGTGAAGATGCAACACGTGATTTTTACATCTAGTTACTAGAAAACAAAGGAAAGCGCTTATTAGCTTTCAATAAAGGAACTTAAACAGGAATGCACTTTTACTACGCTACAAAAGAACTTCTAATGCATTATCAAGAAAGATTTTAGACAAGGAGGCATATTGCTCACTGAGAAGGGTTCTATAAGAAAAGCACTAAGTTAGCAACTATGGGAATGACCGGTTCAAAGAGTAATTAAATGCCCAATTTTGGGAGGGATTACAGGTTTAAGAAAAAGGAAAATCTTAAGAAAACAATTATTAATACCAACTTTCTTCATCATGTACTGCATTTGACAGAAACTAACCTTTTTAAAATTTTACCCGTGACACTTTTATTCAGTTTAGTTATGTGTACAATGTAGTGTAAATTAATCTCCATTTCATATTTTGTCCAAATACTGTCTTCATCCTTTATCACATCGAGTGTTCCCACACTCCACCCAGCGCGCCCACGACAGCAGAATACTTCATCAGAGGAGCACGTGAGGGCGGGTTCTGTTCAATCTCAGAAAAAGCTAATAACACTAATTTTTAAAAATCTCACTAGGAAATCAAAACGCTCGATCCAAAGAGTTGAGCTGTTACACTCATCCCATTAGGATACACAGTACAATGTTAGGGAGGAGCAGGGTGATAAATGATGATGCTAAGTGGCAACATTTCAGAGGCTGCTGCTTGTACTTGTACGTGAAACTCATCAGCAAGTGCCGGCCCCTCCCTCGCTCCAGAAGGTCCTTCAACAGTGCGGTGCTTAGTGTTCTCAGCACAACGATGAACTTAGTTCACAAGGTATTTTGGCAACTCTTAATCTGAGCAAGAAGGGCTTTGGGAAAAATAAGGCTTTAAAAAGAAAGCTTGTCATTTTAGGGCTAAATTTTAATAGAATGTGAAAGTTTGAACTCTTACACTTATTTGTTTAAATAAAACCTAAAAGTTACTAATTGGTTAAAAATGGCTTTATGGAAAAACTAATTTGTAACAAAAACTTGGCATCGAGGGCGAAGGCTCCATCGTTTCTGAGCAAAGCATACAAAGGTTCCCAGGGGGCGGGGCAGGGGCGGGCCCAGGCGTTTACAACAGCAGGCACTTCCTCTTCCTCTTCTTGACGGGCGGCGGGCAGAGAACGGCTCGGATAGCTTCATCGAACACTGTCTTGAGGCCTCGCTGTGTGAGAGCCGAGCACTCCAGGTATTTCACAGCACCTGCCGAGAAACACAGCCTTACAGCCCCCGGCCAGTTTCTGACCAGAACAAGGGCGCGGCCGCTCCCCCAGGCCCTGCCACCTTCTGCCGGCAGGTGAGGCACTGCAGAGCAACCCCTCACCTGCTGCCTCCTCCTGAGCATTGATGGGCCTCGCTTAGCAAAAGTAAGCCAGACCCTGAGCTGGAGGGACACACTCTCACTTCCAAACCTGGACTGCAGTCTACCAGGGCGATACAAGCGTGCAAAGCAAACACGAAGAACTCAGAGTTCATACCGATCTCCTTAGCCATGGCTAAGCCCTGCGGATAGGTGATGGGCGTCAGCTTCTTCTCCTTCAGTTTCTCAATCGTGTCTTTGTCATCCCTAAGATCAAGCTTGGTCCCCACTAGGATGATGGGAGTGTTGGGACAATGGTGTCGCACTTCAGGGTACCACTAGGTGAAAGAAAGATAAACAGTTAAGATACTCTTCTTTCTGAGCTTCCTTCACCTAAGTTATATCCACAACGTTGCCAAAATGTCCACCACCCCTCCGTCAGTGTGTCCCTACAGAGCCTTCCTGCAGGAAAGTGCACCTGCTCTCCACCCCTGCTCACATTCCACTCACACCTTCAAGGCCCACCGGGCTGCCTGGACCCCAGAGCCACCTGAAGGCGTCTGATTAGCAGGCCAGGACTCCCAAGATTAGAACTCTACAGGGTGGGCTCTGCTGGTCAGTAAAAAAGAGAGGAAGAGAAAGGACGGTTCCCCCCAAAACCACTGGTTTTGGTAAAACGAGTCAAATTCTTAGGTCATCTCAGAAAATACTCCATACAGCACTGGGCAAAAGTAAGTTTGCAGTAGTAACACAACTAAATAATACAACATATAACAAAGAATAATACAAGAGTAACCAGTATTTTGTGTACTCACAACTGTAGACCTTTTGCCCAGCCTGCATATTCAGGGATGGGAATAAATTGAGGGACTGAGGTCTCATCACCCACTGGGCACTCTCACTGAGCTGGGGAGTGGCAGCGATGCAGGAGCAACAGCGATGTCTGTGCTCTGCTGCTGGAACAAGGAACCAGCGCTCTGCATCAGCCTGAAACTTCGGAATTCTACACAGTTAGAAAACTGGTTATCTACCTTAGTGGAATTACTAAAACCAATTTAAGTAATTGAAAATTTTGATCAGTAAATGGTATTTTATTTCTTAAAGTTTCTTCCTAAGAGTGACATTCTGTAATAAAATATTATTCTCAAAAACACCCACTTACCTTTGCACGAACATTTTCAAATGACGCAGGACTCACAAGAGAAAAGCAAATTAAGAATACATCCTATAAAAAGGAAACACAGGGTGGCATTTAGAAGAATGTCTTACAGTGAAGTGACAAATGCACTCTGCTTTCTAAAAGCTGCTGGGGACAAACCATCAGACCAGGGGCGTGTACTGTGCGCCCACAGCCTGTGTCGAGAGCCTCCCTGGATATACCCCTGGCTTCTGGCAGATGGCTCCCAAACCAGGGCCGCACATGAAGCAACCAGGTACTGTGAAAAGGGGAGAGTGGAGGCGAAATGGGCTACAAGTGACGTAAGGCTGTGGAGACCTCTTTTCCATCACCCCCAACTCCCACTGGGAACCTAATGGGGACAAAATCAAGGGTCAAAGCACCATCTGAATATTTCTGTAAAACCTGGTCTGTTTCTCAAAACATTATCTACAACTGGTATGCTTTTCACGAAGCTCCTCACCTGCACGTTAAGTATAAACATTTTTAGATGATCACTGGGCTCCAATTAAACTGCTTCCTTAAGAACTGCCCCCGGTCCCTGGCACAGAGCAGGGTTCCAGCACTTGCTAAATGAGCACGCTCCCTACAAGGGAGGCTGGTTTAGTGTGCAAGTGGCATCTCCTAGCCATCAGAGCGCCTGACACCCAAACACGACCTCTGGACAACTTGCACCCAGGTGGGGCAGGTATAGCTAAAGTAGATCCAAAGTAAAGGTAGGTGCAGAATAAATACCTAGAAGAATTCCAGGCTACAAGTGATATATTAGGGTTTTTCCTCCCATTCTGCATTGTGTTAAGAAGTCTAAATATTTACTTGAATCAAATAATACCCAACAGTTTCTAAAATGCTAACTTTAGAAGACATTTTCCTGGAGAAAGGCAATTATGCTCCTTTGTGAAATGCCCAATTCCCAACCAAGCTAGCACTTTCAACCACCCAGCTGCTATTCTGTACCTGGCAAGGGAAAGAACATCCCACACAACAGCTTTTCATGAACAACATTTTTTATGCTAGCGCATGCACAAGCCTGTCCAAGAATCACCTGAGCTGAGTACAACATGTCAAAGCAGGGTGGGGTTAGCGCAGCAGCCCGCACAGCCACACCCAGCCAGCCAGCTCCATGGCACCGGGACATCAGCAGGAGGAGGCAGCCCTGGCAGCCCTGGTTAGCAGCCCCCACCCCAGCTGAGCTTAGGGCCCACAGTGGGCTTCTTGGCAGAGCGCCCACATCTCCATCTCCACCAGCCTGGGGAGAGGCTTGTTCATAGAGCCCCTCCCCTTTCACTTGGGAGGAGGGACTGCTTTAATTTAAGCTAGTCACTAACTGTCACACTCTATTAAAAGAATGGTTCATCAAGCAAAACCCCAACCTTGAGTGCATTAAATATAAAATACTCAAAGAACATGAGGCTCGATAGGAAATCCTAGGAAAACTAAGAGAAACGAGAGAACAGATAAAGCTGAAACTGAAGTCGACTGAAAGTTTTACATACGGCAATCGGCTTGTCTTTGCCCCTGGAGGTTATATCCTTACCATACGTTTCTCCAACCTAGTAATGCATGAGAACTTTGTTTGAGTTTAGTAAAAACGGAGGAAAATAAAAACACAGCCCGTTATTTTATTCTTCATCAGAATTGTCTCAACCCTCCCAAAGTTTTGATCTAACAGCAGATAACGACCTAACAGGTCTCTGATGCCAAAGCCATCAAAACTCTTGTCAACCAACCTGGGGAAGGGGCCCGAGGGGCTGTGTGACTGTCAGGGACGATGGAGTCAGAGGGCAGGCAAACACTGGGAAGAGACAGGCGCTTCTCCTCCCCGCGGCAGCAAACAGAGGGTCTCTTCCCCAGCAGCACTGACAACACGCCCAGGAAGCTCGTGCTCAGTAAGTGTCCATCCTGCCGCTGGCCTCCATTAGCGACAGGCACACCTTTCAAAGACCTCGATCCCAGCTGTCAGGCACGAGCCTGGCTACGCCGCGGCACTTCGAGAAGCACCTGTCTGTGAAGCAGGCCTCTCGGGGAAAGGCTCTCTGGGACCAGGGCTAGGGTGAGAGCTGCGATCAGGACAAGTGTCCTGCCTGTGCAGAAACACCGGACTCTCCCCTCCGGACTCTCCCCTCCGGGCTCTGGGAACAGTGCTGATTCAGAGACCAATCCCCTGCTCCCTGCGGATCTGGATGAGGCAGCACAGAGTGACAGCACTCGGGTGTTTATCACAAGGCTTTCAATTCATTCCTTTGTCCCAAGAAAAATGGGAAGACTTGTTCTTCCAGCAACACAGAGTCCTGGAGTTCTAAGAGACAGGCGGCCAAGAGAATAATTTTCATTTCATCTCATTTGAGCTTCTCTGATTTCCAATTTGAAGATAACATTAAAGTTTCCATAAATATCCTGTTTAATCTGTGGGCTATTTGTGAAAATTTGTTCTCGAAGAACTTGGCGTGATGCCAGATCTTCACTGTGCTACAGGGACTCCTGGGAACTGGCCCCGGAAGCACAGTTTCAAGATATCCTCAACCCACATCTGTCCTACCCTTTTCAATTTTAAGAACATCTTTTTGACGAAGACGCTTTCTGTCCTACATTAACGATATGCCATCTGCTGTTCCTTCCCTCGCCCACCGCGCTTTAAGGACCCTTCTCCTGCTGCCCACCCCGCCCGGGCCCTCGAGTCACGCGCCTGTCCTTGCGCACTGAGCACAGCCGCCTGTGGCGTGGCCGCCCTCTCCTTTCCTCGCAGGTCACCTGTGTGTCCTGCAGCCTCTTTCTGCCACCTGAGCTGCCCTGGGTCACAGGCCACCGTCCCTCTGGACACGACCATCACTCTCCTTCTGTCACAGGGCGCCTCTGACCACATGTGCCCAGCAGCCTTCAGTGACTTTACGACTCCTGGACTGCTAATCCTGTCCTCACCGGTCAAGGTCACAGGGGTCTTCCTGCCGCCTCCCAACCTGTCAGTGGCTCAATCCACAAAGAGACGAGTCTGCTCTGAGCAAAACCAGAGTGGGCAGACCTCTGAGCGGCTGAACTCTCACCGCTCTAAAAGAAACTAGCATTTCTTTCATTTTATTCTCTTCCAATTGCTTTCCACCTGGACTTTGCTTTCAGGTTTGGAATATTTTTTAAATATGTCTTGATTGATTTTGAGAGAGAGAGGAAGGGAGAGAGAGAGAAACATCGATTGGCTGCCTCCTGCAGGCCCCCTGCTGGGAATGGAGCCTGCAGCCCGGACATCTGCCCTGACCAGGAATCCAACCAGGACGTCTCAGTCCACAGGATGACGCTCACTCCACTGAGCCACACCAGGTTTGAAGGTTCAATCCCCAGCCCTAGTCAGGGTCGTGCGGGAGGCAACCAATCAAAGTGTCTCTCTCACATAGGTGTCTCTGTCTCTCTCCTCCCTTACCCTCCCTCTCCCACTCCATCTGAAAAAATCAATGGAAATATCCTCAGGTGAGGATTAACAAAAAAGATCAAAATAAAGTGGTTAAAAAATCTCCCAAAACACCAACATCAGGTAAGGCCACTGTGTGACCATGCTGAAATTGAGGCCAAACATAAAGAAATAAATAGAAGATCACTGACTTCACAATCATGTCCAAGTACAAACATAAGGTCCCTGAGCAAATTCCAAAACACCAACATCCCCTGTCCCAGCAGAGAGTAACTGCTTCTGTACCAACCCTCAGCTTTAGCCTCACCTCATTCCCACCTTCCAGGTGAGATACACTAAAATACCCAACAACTACCCTGCTTTCTGTCAGCATCCGAGACAGAGCAAACCCCCAAATCCTTGAGCCCTTGCCTAACCCTCACCCCACATCCCCGAGGTGTGTGTCTGCCACAGGACAGAGTAACAGCCCCCATTCCGTTCAACCACAGGTGTGTTCCCAGTGCCCTCTGGCTGGAGGACACTAATGCTGCAACAGCCAACCTAACCAAGCTCGAGGCCTTCTGAAAACCAAAACTGCCAAGCTAAACACCAGGTTTTCTTTTCATCTAATGTTGCCGTAATCTAGCCAGTACTTAAAAACCCTTCTCAAGTCAAGGCACATACAGAAAATGAAGATACTGCCATGACACAGCAGGGTCCCGGCTGACCAAATGGAGAGGCCAATACAGCTAAGCAAACCAACCACAGCAATGTGGGTCTCAGCACACACGCAGGGACCAAGCCTGGTGGTGCGGGCAAGTCACATCTGTTCCCACTCACACCACCGAATCCTGGGACAGGGGGGCGAGGCAGGGGAGCGCTATGCCATCACACCTCGATTCTGAGCACACAACTGAAGGTGAACATGCAGAACTTACAAAATAGTTTTTAAAAAGAATGTAAAGTAATTTATTGAAAGCCCTAAGGATTACTTTAGAAAATATAAGAATTTGAAGGGCAATTTATACTGAAAATAATGACTACTTGCTCACCATCTTTGAGAGAAAAAGTAGAAACTAACGGTTTAAACAGACTTAACTTAGCTCCACGGAGTTACCCAACAGAGGACACTGGCATCGAGCAGCCACAGCAAACAGTGTCCTTTTAGGACACGAGAGATAAGACATCCTTTAACTGGTCTGAGCACAGTCCTGGATGAGCTACAGGAATAGGCCTGCAGACCAAAGAGCCAAGAGCCAGAGACCATGTTCCATTAGCACAAAGTTTAGAATTTTCTTCCCCCTTGCCAACAAGAAATCCAAGTGCCAACCAGTAACTTCCAAGGCCTGCTCCTCTTGGCAGGATAGCCTGGCTCAAAGGGAGACTTTCCAGATAGTGGTACCTCAGAACTTGGCCTGCCCCTAGGCAGCCAAGATGACTTCCTCCTTCCTCATCTCAAAGGGGTCCAACGTGGCGCGTCCATGACTGCTGGCTGGGCGCTCTCCCTCTGCTCCTAGGCAACAACTCCTCGCCCTCTCGGCGGCACATGGTGCACTGTGTCAGCCACACCCGAGAGCTATTTGAGGGCAAGAACCACATCCTCCTCCTTTCAGCTGCTGGAGTATTTGAGGGAAGTCTTCCCCTCACATGGAATGATACATAAAAGGTTTAGGTCCTAGTCTGCCCTCAGGACAACACCCCTTGGACTTCAGCCTTAGCACTGTACCTGATACAATCTGTTACTATCTATGTGTTCTTTAGCACACAAATCGGAAATTTTGCCAAGTCACCTTTGACATACTGTGAATGCTTCTCTCAGAAAAAAAGGCCACGCCCCTCCCTACCTTCTGAGTCACTGGAGGTGGTTGAGTGACACCCCCGACCCAAGCTTCCAGATGTATCCAGGAGACTCCTGGCTCAGTATGTTTGCAATTCCACTTAAAATCTGGAATTATTAAGTACTTGCAGGTATAAAATAGATTCCTAAACATATTAAAGAATTCAAACCATTTAGTAATTTGGCTGGTTTTTAATACTTAGTGAATTTTAGCTGGAGATTAATTAAGAAATCATGCAATTCAAACCTCCCATTTTTAAGTTTTGGTCTGTTACCAGAATCCAGCTCAAGAATAATCAGCAAAAATCTATAGCTCAAAGACACTGTTTGGCAGTTCCTCCAACAGGAAGCAAATAAAACAATGTTGCATGGGAAAAGCTATGTTCAGAAGTTTAAAACTAGCATTACTAAACAGAAAGTTCATTAAAAATAAGAACAAGCCCTGGCTGGTTTGGCTGCAGCCCTTAGAGCTGCGCCTGAGGACTGAAGGGTCTTGGGTTCGAATCCCAGTCAAGGGCACGTACCTTGGTTGCAGGTTCAATCCCCAGTTGGGGTCGTGCAGGAAGCAACCAATCGTTATATCTCTCTCACATGGATGTTTCTCTCTCTCCCTCCCTCCCTTCCACTCTATCTGAAAATCAATGGAAAAATATCCTCAGGTGAGGATTAACAAAAATAATCTGATAAAATTAAAAAAATATAAAAGGACAATAAAGACAAGCAAATGATACAAGTAAGACATTTGCTTATTTAAAGAGCAGTGGTGCCCTGGCTGGTTTGGCTCAGCGGTTAGAGCGTCGGCCTACGGTCCAGAGAGACCCAGGTTCGGTTCCCCGTTAAGGGCACGTACCTTGGTTGCAGTTTGTCCCCAGCCCTGGTTGGTCGTGCGGGTGGCAACCACTCGATGTGTCCCTTTCACACCGATGTTTTTCTCTCTCTCTCTCCCTCCCACTCTATCTGAACAAAATATCAAAAAATGTCCTCGGGTGAGAAAATAAATAAATAAATAAATAAAGAGCAGTGGCTTCCAACCATGTTTTCACCAGCTACTGCTCTAAACAGCTTTAGCAAGTAGATCACTGAGTTGTCTGACATAGAAGCAAAATTAATCTAAAAGTTTTTCTGACTGGACACTATGGCCGGTCACACTTTCATAAAACTAAAACCTCAATCAACATTGAGAAAATTTAGGTATTAAAGCCACAGAAAATGAACAAGTATTTTATAGAAAAGTCATATCAAACCTATCAAATTAGTTACTGACTTGATCTAAAGAAACCATAATCTTCACTGCTTCATTTGGTACAAAACTACAAAACCAGCAACCTCAAAAGTAGCTGGTATAGCTGGTCTGCAAAAACAAAACAGTACCGCCCTGGCCGGTTTGGCTCAGCGGTTGGAGTGTCGGCCTGCGGTCCGGAGAGACCCGGGTTCGGTTCCCGCTAAGGGCATGTACTTCGGTTGCAGTTTGTCCCCGACCCTGGTTGGTTGTGCAGTGGCAGCCACTCGATGTATCCCTTTCACATCGATGTTTCTCTCTCTCTCTCTCTCTCTCTCTCTCTCCCTCCCACTCTATCTGTACAAAAAATGGAAAAATGTCCTCGGGTGAGGATAAAAAATAAATAAAAAAATAAATAAAAATGTATAAAAAAACAAACAAAAAACAAAACAGTACCTATTTCATATGGTTGTCCTAGGACTAAATGAAAAAATGCAAAACACAACTCAGTATTCAATAACTGGTAATGCTAAAAAAAATAAACACATATCAAATCCAGGGGGCTAGCATCCAAGGGGCCATCCAGTTCACTACTGAACTAATTTATTTGCTATTTACTCAATATACCCAAAAAATCCAAATCCACCAGTGGTATGCAATAATTGTACATTCTAAAGAACACATTACAAATCAGTTGTACCCTGGCCAGTGTGGGTCAGTTGGCAGGCGTTGTCCTGTGCATAGAAAGGCTGCTGGTTCAATTCCCAGTCAGGGCACGTGCCCAGGATTCGAACTCAACCCGACAGGGGGTGTGCAGGAGGCAGCCAATCGATGTCCCACTCTCACATGGATGTTTCTCTCTCTTAAAATCTAACAAAACAAAACAAAAGTCGTGATCCTTACTGTCTGTGGATAGGAGAGAGGACGTAGTCTGTCATAATCTTCTTGTCCAGCAGTATCCCATAAGCCCAGATTCACTGGTTTTCCATCTACCATTACATTGGCAGAATAGTTGTCAAAGCTGTAAAATATAAAGAAAAATGGTTAGCCCAGCGGTGCGGCTCAGTGGACTGAGCATCGTCCCATGGACTGAGAGGTCTGGGTTCGAATTCCCAGTCAGGGCACATGCCCAGGTTGTGGGCTGGATCCCCAGTGAGGGGTGTGCAGGAGGCAGTTGATCAATGCTTCTGTCCCACATCAATGTTTCTCTTTTCCTTCCTCTCTCTCTAAAAGAGTCAATAGAAAAAATAAATTAAATAAACACATTTTTAAAAGATTATAAATTTTTTTTTTTTTTTTTTTTAAGAAAAATGGCTAGGCTCTTGGAGCATAAGGCCCAGGTGTAGGACCCGAGTAGCTGTCCCAGCTGGGGTGCCAGAAGAGGTGGTGATGAGAAGGCCGCAAGCGGGAATGGAGGCCACCAGGCCAGCAAATGCCCTTCCCACAAGCACGAGGAGATGCCTGTGAGCTAAGTGGAGGAAAAGGAGGGTGGAGTGTAAGGAAAACAAATGCACAACTTGAGAAAAATGCCTGAGAAACAAAGAGAATCTACTAGATTTGACTGAAACGGTTACTGTCAGCAATAAAATAGCTTTGTCTTTACTAAACAGAACATGAAGGTTTTTCTCCCCAGGAAGAAATAAAGTGTAAACCTGGTCACCCTTTCAAACCCCACTTGTTGAGTTTTTCACGAACATCGGACTCCCTCTCAGCAAGCTGGCTCAGTGCTGGAGCTGCGTCTCACAGGCCCACCTGAGCGCAGGCTGGGAGTGACTCAAGTCTTGGTCATGCACGCCCGCAACTAAAGCGCAGAGGGGTTCTGAGAAGCCATCATGGTTTTCAGAGTGTACCAGATTACACATATATTTAAATTACTTTGAAGTTGCTACACAAAACTCAGTTAACTATAGGAGGCAATCCAGAAAAGCCTACAGGCTGACCGGAAAAAATAAGGTTGACAAAAAATTACCAGGAGTATCATAGAGTAAGTAATTCATTAAAAAGAAAATCTGGCATTGCAATTCAAACTAGGGCAGGTACCAAATAGAACACAATAAAACTCCAGAATTCATTTGTACATACTCTGAAGACTAAAACTTGGGGTCTTATTACACTGGGACAGCAAAGCCCAAGGTCTGAATAAGGTGCTAATATGCTTTATAAAATTTAATGACCAAACTAGTTTTCATAAAGAAAAGGTCTACTGTGTAGTAATTCTGCCTCTTGAGAAAAGGACAGACAGATAATTCACTAATTGGTCACCACCCTACCCCCCCGATTTGGGAAAAAGAAATCAGGTGCCCGTCTCATTCTAAAAGAAATAATACATTCTAGCCCAGCCGGTGTGGCTCAGTGGTTGAGCACTGACCCATGCACCCGGAGGTCGCCGGCTCAATTCCGGGTCAGGGCACACGCCCAGGTTGTGGGTCCAATCCCCAGTGGGGAGCATGCAGGAGGCGGCCAATCGATGTTCTCTCTCACTGGTGTTTCTATCTCTTTCTTCCTCTCCATCTAAAATCAATGAAGAAAAAAAATTATAGAAAAAAAAATAAAAGAAATAATACATTATAGATCCTGGCTGAGTAGCTCAGTCAGAGCATCATCCCAATACGCCAAGGTTGCAGGTTCGATCCCCAGTCAGGGCACATACAGGAAGCAACCAAAGAATGCATAATAAATAAGTGGAACAACAAAACGATGTCTGTTGCGCACTTTCTCTCTAAAAATCAATCAATTAAAAAAATTTTTCAAAGCCCTGGCCGGTTTGGCTCAGCGGTTAGAGTGTCAGCCAGTGAGTCTCAGGTTTGATTCCGATCAAGGACAGACACATGCTTGGGTTGTGGGCTCAATCCCCGTTGGGGGTCATGCAGGAGGCAGCCAATAGATGTTTCTTTCTCACATCAATGTTTCTATCTCTCCCTTCCTCTCTCCCTTAAAAAGTCAATGGAAATATTTTTTGAGAAACAAATGTTTTAATAAATAAAACGTTACACTTGTTGTCCTAGCCAGTTTGGCTCAGCAGTTAGAGCATCAGCCTGTGGACCAATGAGTCATGGGTTCGATTCCAGTCAAGGGCATGTACCTCAGTTGTGGTTGGTCCCCGGCCCTGGTCGGGGTTGTGCAGGAGGCAACCAATCAATGTGTCCCTCTCACGTCGATGTTTTTCTCTCTTTTCCTCCCCACCCACACTCTATCTGAAAATAAACAGAAAAATATCCTCAGGTGAGAATTAAAAAATAATAATAATATATATGTGTGTGTGTGTGTGTGTGTGTGTGTATACTTCTTATATACAAAAGTTCCATCAGTAAGAAAAAAATTTCAGTAGAAAAATAAGCAAAATCTTCAACAGGCAATTCACAGAAGACCATGAATGGACAGTAAACACTCAAAAGATTTTAACCTCACTGATGATCAGAAATGCAAATGATGAGGTGACTTTTTCAATCCATGTGGACCACAACATGTATTAGGGACTGTTTCATAGGGACTGTTTCAGTCACAGCTGGTCAAAGCAATAGACATTTAGATGGCAAATGGGTAGTATCTATCAAAAGTTAAAATTCGGCACAATTCCACTACTAATGATCTATCACATGTTTAACATAGCACTGTTTGCAATGCAATAAAAAAGCCTAAATGACCATTAGTCAATCAGCTATGTAGTTCAAAGTCGTAACAGCTGTTAATGACTTAGCTCTATCTACAGCTGTAGATAAGAAAAGTTCCTACCACAAATTCTGGACAGTATGATTCTACTTGTATTAAAATATGCAAAAGACACATCAGGGAACACCTAAGTGTAATCCTGTGTTTGAAGAGGTGAGCATGGATGGGGCCTGAGGTGTTTCTTCTCCACCAGGACGGAAGCCGTGAGCAGAGACAGAGCTCGCAGTGGCCACATGGTGGTGCTATGGGGCTGGGTGGGTTACATGGGACTCCCTAGTAAGCCCCATCATCAGAAAAGCACTTTTCCATCTCCACCCAATTCTGCTGCCAACAGGGAATAAGCAGCTCAGTAGCCAATTCCATCCTCCCATACACACCCTGATTTAAATTCCAAAACTTCGTAACTCAACAGTGACATGTAACCAGCAGAGTACTTGCCAGAAAAGGCCAATGATAACATAATGGTAGTTCATGTTCCAGTTCCTTGAGCCTTCACACACCAAGCCCAGAGAGCCAAATATATCTGAAACTCTTACATCACCCAGCCTCTACACTTCAATTAGTTTAACTTTCTTTTGTTTCCTAAATGTCTAAAAATCAATTAAGAAAGCTGTGTGTTGCATCACTGTGTGGAAACTTTACATTACTTTTAAGTATTTTTTAAAGCCCAAATACCTCGACTTTGGTGAACATATGAAAAGTAATCATATCTGTTTATGTAAGTAGCAAAACAAAGGTCAAAGGTGTCCAAAAAAACACCACAAATGAGTTAATTCCCAGTTTAACTTAAGATACTTACACAGTGGGGATATACTCTCCAGGAAATGCATTGGTTGTGTAACTGATCAGCAGGCAGGTTTTACCTACAGCTCTAAAGAGAGAGAGAGAAAAGGTGTAAGTTGCTTGGTTAACATGAATGTAATCTTAGTTTTCACTATTCTGTTAAAATAATTTATAGAAATAGCAAGGAGTATACATCAAGTACTTAGCATTAAAGAACATCATTTCTAGCCCTGGCTGGTTCGGTTCCCGCTAAGGGCACGTACCTCGGTTGCAGTTTGTCCCTGGCCCCAGTTGGGGTAGTGTGGATGGCAACCAGTAGATGGGTCTCTCTCATGTCGATGTTTCTCTCTCTCTCTTCCTCCCTCTCTCCCTCCCCCTCTATCTGAAGATAAATGCAAAAATATCCTCAGGTAAGAATTTAAAAAAAAAAACTTAAAAAAAAAGAACATCATTTCTAGACATTTATCCTGACATTTAAAGTAAACAAACTAGACTTTTTCAGAAAGGCAGAGTCAGGAGACTTCACATTCTGTTTAGGTGATATTAGCACTTAGTCAAGAAACAGTTGTTAGCCTGGCCAGTGTGGCTCAGTGGCTGAGCATCAACCCATGCATCAAGAGATCGCCTTAGATTCCTGGTCAGTGGATATGCCCAGGCTGTGGGCCAAACCCCCAGTGGAGGCCATGGAGGAGGCCATTCGCTGTTCTCTCTCATCGATGTTTCTATCTCTCTCTCTCCCTTTCCCTTCCTCCCTATAAAAATCAATAAAGAAAATAAAATTTTTTAAAGAAAAGAAACATTAAATAAGCACAAGGTTCAAGAGCAACAATGTTTTAATACTGAAAGTCTTTTCTGTGACCATCTGTAAAAATCTTTCATCCAAGAATCTTCAATTCTATTCTGAAATTATTTATTTATTTATTTATCCTCACCCGAGGACATTTTACTACGTTCAGACAGAGTTGGAGGAAGAGAGGGGAAGAAAGAGAGAAATATTGATGTGAAAGGGACACATGGCGTGGCTGCCTCCTGCATGACCCAATCAGGGCTGGGGAAAACATGCCCTTAGCGGGAACCGAACCCAGATCTCTCTGGACCGCAGGCCGACGCTCTAACCACTGAGCCAGACCGGCCAGGGCTATTTTGAAATTATTTTGATGAATGCTAATATGCAAAGACAGTTTTCCTCTGCAACTTACACCCTGTTGCTAAGTAATAAATTTTGCTGTTTCTGAGTGGCAGCTTAGATTCCACCACCTTCCTAAAGCTGTCCCTCTGGTAATCAGTAATGACTGTTCTCTTAACAGAGCGCTTAGTCATAACCACCACACTGAACTATTCTCACTTCAACTCATCTGTATTCACTCGCCACCTCTCCACCCCCTATCCTCACATATCACCACAAGCTTTTAGAGCAGCTAACACAACATAATCCAGACATATTAATTAACAGCTCAGGGATGCTGGAGTAAACTTCCCAAGAAGCTACAAGGGTAGAAAGTAAAAGGACCCAAGCAGAAATACTCCAGTGAAGGAAGAACTCCTGCACAGCTGATAATGGGTACAATACACCACCAGGCAGAAGTCTGAATAGGGTTGGAAGTCTCCCAACCACTACAAAACAATGTTCATAAGGAAGTTAGGTGCTTTTCTATTTTCCTCGCACTCTTAGCTTAAGGCAAAATACTCTCAACAAGGGCAGATTACAGGCACATCCAGCCTTGCCAATACTTGTTTCACTTGTAACATTATTAAGGACTTAACAAAAGTTGGAACTCCCCACCCGAGAGAACTCAGAGTCAAACATTATATCATCAGGAGGTAGCTTCCAACTCCTAAAGTCTTTCTAAACAGCGATGACTCACTGGCCATACATTTTGTTAAAAGCTCTGAATGTCAAAATAAACCTGTAGGAGCAGGAGCCTGAGATTTGAAGTCATTATTCTGGATCTGAGACTCACCCATGACCAACTCTATCACTTACTGGCTGAATTTTGGGGAAAGTTTCAACTTCCTTATGCCTCCAGTTTCTCAACTGTAAAAAGGATGCAAAACTGCCCACTCCATTCCAAAACTATTGTGAACATTAAACCAAAGAACTTACATACATATATGCATAACCAATGGACACAGACAATAGTGTGAGGAAGACCTAGGGTGGGGCAGAGGCTGGGAGGAAGGGGAAAAGAGGGGACTTTTGAGGGACATCTGTAATACTGTCTGTCAACAAATTTTTCAACCTATGCCAGCAAATTGTGTGTTGTGCCAGGAAGTACGTCCACCAGGCGATGCAATGAACAAGACCTCACGGAATTTATGCAACTGCTTAATTAGAAAACGAGGCCCTGGCCGGTCTGGCTCGGGGTTAGAGTATGTGCCTGTAGACGGAAGGGTTGTGGGTTCAATTTCGGTCAAGGGCACGGACTTGGGTTGCAGGTTCGACCCTGGGCCCTGGTTGGGGTCATGTGGGAGGCAAACAATCAATGTGTCTCTCTCACATGCTGTTTCTCTTTCTCTCTCTCACCCTCCCTTCCACGTTCTGTAAAAATGAATGGAAAGCCCTCTTGTGTAGCTCAGTGGTTGAGCATCGACCCTGCACCAAGAAGCTGCCAGTTCAATTCCCGGTCAGGGCACATGCCCAGGTTGTGGGCCCCATCCCCAGTGGGGAGCACACAGGAAGCGGCCAACTGATGTTCTCTCTCATCGATGTTTCTATTTCTCCCTCTCCCTTCCTCTCTCTCTAAAATCAATAAAGAAAATATCAAATAAATAAATAAAATAAAAATGAATGGAAAAATATCCTTGGGTGAACAATAAAAAGAAAAATGAAGACTGCAGTCATAACATAAAATTATAGGTGCAATAAGTGTTATCAAAGATGCTCTGGAAACACACAGCAAGAGACCTACCCTAGTGTTGGGGGTAGTTAGAGGAGGCTGCGGTGTATCCTGAGGCTCGGAGGAGGAGGGACACGAAAGGGAGAAATATTCTAGACAAAGCAGCAGCATATAGGGAAGCCCAGAATAACTGAAGAACAAAGAAACCGAAGCAAATGGTAGAGGAAAATATGAGTAGGCTGTCATCTCTTCTTGCTAAGAACATGGGACTTGATCCTACTTGGGAAGTCACAGAAGGTTTTTGGTTGCCAAGAAGCCATTAGATTTGTATTTTTAGAAGAAGCCTCTGAACACTGCACGGAGAGAAGACTGAGGAAGCTGGAATGGAGGCAGGAAAACAGGAAGCAGCAGCTGCTGCTCCATTCCAGTAACTACCCCGGTGGTCTGGACCAAGGGGGCTTTCAGGGTGAAGAGAAGGGGACCATTTCAAGAGTTGCCTAGACCAGAGGCAGAATAAGCATGGCTCGGCCATGGGCTGGATGTGGTAGCTGAGGACAAGAACAGAGTCTAAGGCCATAAGTAACCCTCTTTTCAAAATTACAAATGTTGCTGTGCAAAAATGTTCATAGTTATTGTCACTTAATGTCCAAGATAAGCAGCTACAGAGATTTTAACTTTCGCTCTGGCTGGTGTGGCTCAGTTGGCTGGGCGTTGTCCCGTGCACCAAAAGGTTACTGGTTAGATTACCAGGCAGGGCACATGCCCAGGCTGTAGACTCAATCCTGGATCACAGGTAGGGGGAGTGCAGGAGGTAACTGATTGATGTTTCTCTCTCCCTCTCCCTTCCTCTCTCTCTAAAATTACTAATAAAAATATATTTTTTAAAAATTTTAACTTTCATGTTAAAGTGCAGTAGCACTTCTTTTAATATCCTGGCCTAAGTCTCTTCTATATATATGAGGAACAAAGCCATTACAGCAAATACGACCAACTGTGTTTTAAACTAAGCTCTGGACTTTCTTTTCCTGAAACTTTGTCTTCAGCTGAAGCATTATCTTTTGAAAGGTTGAACTATAAAAGAATTCAAGGTAAAGACATAACCTGACAGTGAGTGATATTTTATTACCAATCAGTTATTAGCTACAAATCTGTATTCTATTAAGAAAACTTTTAAATTATAAAATTATAACTTTTAAATAACTACATGTCCAACCTCTGATTAAAATATTTACTTATTTTTTTAAAACAGATGAAAAGAAACAGGAAACGGTTATTTACCTCCTGTTAGTGTATTTATTCACTCCTTTTCAACACACACCCAAAGAAATGCAAGAAGCCAACCGTCAACACTGGCTCTCGGCAGTCACAGCCCTCCCCACAGAATGAATGAAGCTGTGTTTGGTCACAGCCTGGACTGATGCTGCTGTAGAATTTCTGGAAGTTACTATTTGCTTTGGAATTTCCAATTTTATATATTAACTGCTTGGTTCTACCTCTTTTTAATTTCTGAAAAATGTTGTAACTCCAGAAAATGAACGCGGGGCTACTGGAAGGAAGTTCACATGAGCACTTTTCCTTTGACCTACCTGTGCATTTGCCCCATCTAGTAGAAATAACCAAGATTAAAGCCAATGACTTGTTCCTCTTATGTACTTTTTTCCACTAGAATTTTAAGAAAGCTTTTTACTTAAAAATATTTGGGGAAAATGTCAGTATTAATTCTCAAAACCTACAAATCAAAACTTAAAAAAAAAAAAAGATCAAGCCCTGGCCCAGTTTGGCTCAGTGGTTGGAGCACTGGCCTGCAGACCAGAGTTCCGGGTTCGGTTCCCGCTAGGGGCACGTACCCAAAAAAAAAAAAAAAAAAAGATCAATAGCCCAGCCAGTGTGGTTCAGTGGTTGAGCATCCACTCATGGACCCGGTCAGGGCACACGCCCAGGTTGTGGGCTCAACCCCCCAGTGGGGCACGTACAGGAAGCAGCAATTCAATGTGTCTTTCTTATCGATGTTTCTATCTCTCTCTCTAAAATTCAATAAAGAAAAAATAAAATAAAAAAGGAAGGGAGGCTTGGCCAGTTTTGCACAGTGGTAAGAGCATCAGCCCTTGGACCAAAGAGTCTCAGGTTCGATTCCAGCAAAGGGCACGTACCTCGGTTGCTGTTCTGGTCAGGGTAATGAGAGAAGCAACCAACTGGTGTATCTCTCTCTCACATCGATATTTGTTTCTCTCTCTGTCTCTCTCTCTCTCTC